CCAAAAACATCCCAAGCGCAGGACTCTCTTGCTACACGGAGGATGGAGGCTTTCCTAGGTAAACAAATGAAATAAAATGTAAAGGGCGCTGTTGTTGGTGTTGTGAAAGTGCACGCGCTCGCACGTGTCTTTCCCCCAAGGAGGAGAATTTCAGGTGAAAATGTATTGGCAGCAGCGGTGTAGGTTGTTTAGAGAATTCCCGTTCCGTGCTGTATAAAAGGTGAGAGGTAAACCACTTTCTGTTTGTTCAGCTACCCCAGCCGCTTGTGTTTACTGTTTGTGCACAAATGCTTTACCTATCTCCCCCCCCCTGCTGATACGGTTTCCAGAAGGTAACATTTCGATCAATGCTTTCATTGTTATAGTGTTAAGAAAGTCTGCCAAGTTGTGGTGTCATCCTGTGTACTTAAAAAAAATGAATATGTCCTTTGATTGAAGGAGGTTTTTTACGGCAAACAAAATGTGGATGCTTAAAAGCCAGAGATGAATGTAAAACAGTCTCCAACTCGGTGTTTCATTCGGAATAGTATCATAAGTATATTACTTTAAAAAACTTAATATTTTATAGATATGACATTTTTCGTATGCAGAGGAATTTAAATGGAAATTTCGTGGATTTACCACGTGGTGACTTGTTTTCTTATGAGTATCGCCACGGATAGGGTGGAAGCTTCACGTTTACGTGGGACAACGTTAAACACATCTGAACTTAGGTGTACTTTCACCTAAAAGTTGATTGTCAGCTAAAGACATCTTTAATTGCCACTGCCCCCAAATATCAGTTGGGTGTTGCAGCTTGTTTGTTCTCGTTGTGTTTGTTTATGGGTGAGGATACGGAGGTGGGTGGGGTCAGAGGACCAAGTCGGACCACTCAGATCCAGATTTTGAATCTGGACAGCCGCCTCTGGAGACATTGAACTCTCAAGTCTTGCGAGTTAATGTCCTCAGCCTGGTCCACCCGCCATTGACTGCCAAATGAAACACAATTGTTAAATGTCGTTTTATGTTGCACGCCGGCTAATTTAGAGCTTGGAGAATTTACTATTTCAGTTTTATTGCGATCCGAGAAACGGCGGCGCTAGTGAGGATTAAAGAGGCCTATTGAAGTAAGGTCTCTCATCGTCTTCTCGTGACGTCTTATGACACAGTGGTGATGCATTACTTCCCTCATGATCTCTGGGCTTATTTAAACTACTAAACATGTTTTTTTTTTATTTTTCCAGGTAAGGCCCACTGAGCTATATATATATATCTAGCTCTTTTTTCACAAGCGACCTGGCCGCAAATGATAGCTCAACGAAAGTGGCTTATCATGTGGAGGTTTATAGAAGCCAAATACTCTAAATGCATGTTTCTAAATGTGGAGGGAAACGCTGGAGGACCTGGACAAAAATCCACGCGATCACGGGGAGAGAGACGAGAACACTCCAAATATACAGGCATCATCAGGGTCAGGATTGAACCCACGACCTCCAGTATACCGGGCGAGGTAGTTCACATCTCGCCACCTGGGGTCATATCATTTCACAATATTACCCCAAAAGCACAGTTGGGATACAATTGTGGAAAATATGCCAATTTATTTGGTAAATAAGAATTGCTTAACACAGGGGATGTCCACGTCCATACCCTAATTATCAGGGTACATTACATCTGGCCTGATGTATGTTACATGTTGTTTGTATGTTACATGTTGTTCCGCCCTCCCGTTGATTTTCCCGTTGTGTTCTGGGCTTGTGAAAAACCATGCTTGGCTTTGTGATGTCAAACCGACTCCTTGCCCTGCATTGATACATCGCAAGTATTGTTTAATACGTCGTAAGTATCGTTTAATGTGGCTGGGTGGGTGACTCGGAGGTCAGAATGCCGAGCTTCTGCTGAGATGCTGGTTTCAAATCTGGGTTACAGCCACTCGCGATTAAAACCGCGGACCCTCAAGCGGAGCAGGTTGATCGTCTCAGCCTGGTCACCAATGGCTGCACCAAAATCCATCGCGTTAAATTGGATTTTTTGCACTTCATTTGTATATATTCCAGTTTTGACATGTAAAATACCCATATGACTTTGGGACGAACAATCCCATTGCAGAGCATGTGCGAATGTGTGACCCCTACTGTATTAAAAACTAAAAAAGCCACTTGAAGCAATGCATTGGGAGAGAAGGCCTGTGAAAAATATTTTCTGTGGGCCCTTTGCTGACAAAGCGGTGGGGGGCGGTGGGGGGCGTTGCTGTCCAACTAGGTGAGATTTCCAAATCGATTCCTGGTCTCCTGCTATGATGCCGCAAGCACAGTTGGAATAACTTTGAGGGGGGGGGGAACAAGAGAGAACAATGATCGTCAATGATGGAAATATCTTAGCTGCTCCCAGTGAGGACCATATCTTGCTTGAGATGTAATGGAAATATTGTGATTGCGTGGAGTTTGTCATGCCTCTATTCTAAGCTGTAAAGTCAGTATAGTAGTAGCATTTGTCTGTGCTACAGCCAAGACTTGATTCCCACTGCTTGCAGTTTCCACTCGCCAAACTACTCTGATGTGTTTCGTGGGTGAAATTCTTCAACGTGCATGCAAGTGTGAGCTGGATGTGGCTGAATTAGGATAGTCTTGTGAATACTGCATTGTCACGCAAGATGTCACACTCTCATCATGTACAGCCCTTTGTCTATTCACTCCTGGGTGAAGGCCTCCCAATACTTGTTGGTAATTTGTTTGGCAATACTTTACCACACCGGTCAGTGCAGGTTGACAAATTGGCAGGCATGTATGTACTTATGGGATTTGTACTGATGTACTTAATGTATTATGATGTTTTTTTTATTTTGTATTATTTGCATACCTTTCCTTTTATTCTTCACTGCTATCTTTTTTGTATTGAATTTGTACTCTTATGACTTGGTGACTCACTTCTGCTGGACATCTGTGAAAAAAAGCTTCGTTGCTCATCAGATTCCTCTAGTCTAGATAAAGATTCTGATTCCGGAGGCCGAGAGCAGTTCAGATATGACTCGCCGCTGGTGTTAGCCCATTTCCAGGTATCAAACTTTGGTCACAATTTCATAAGCGGTTGAACAATGTAATGTGTTTGAACTTTTTTCACTTTGGCAAAGCTTGTGTTTAAGAAACACCGCAGTTGGATATTAATGCTATTGTTTACTATAACCTGCAATGAATGCTATTCTTTGTTGCATTCATTGCTGGACCTTTTGACGTTGTAAGGTTAACACTCAGAAACTGAACATTATGTTAATGAAAACAAAAGTGAAGGCACAGTCATGCAATTGTTTGTTCAGGTCTACTGGTGGAAGTGCCTCGATTAGAAGGAGCTCTAGAGAGCCCCTTTGAAAGGTGTTTTGGCCTACTCTTCCATGCTGACCAGATGTCATAATATTATAATTGAAAACATATATACACACACTTTTGTATTATTATACAAGCTTATCTGTATAGGATGCAGACCGTTATAGCCAATGGGCTAAATATAATAATAAATAACAATACATTTGGCTTGCAGTATTGGAAAAGAGTTTAATAAAAGCGGTAATTTATTTTCCTTTATTCTACTTTGAACTATTGCCGCAGGTCTGCATAGTGACAAAGCAACAAACGCAATTCAAGCGGCGTTTTATAACTTCAAAGAGCACAGCAAACCCCACTTTGTGCAGAAATTATTCAGAAATACTGTCTGGGTTTGTGCACCCTTGGAATTCCATCCAGTAGCATTCCTTATGTCAACTCAGTCGGTGAAGGCAGAAGGAAATGAGCTCAAGTTGGGTCCAGGGTTCACAGAGAATATCTGCTGAAGTAGCCATGGTAGGATGCATGAAACTGGTTTTGGATCAGGATTTGCATTTTGTTGTAAGAGGGTCCTCAAGTGACACTTGGCAGGAGCTGATCAAGATTGAATGGTTACTAAGAGCTTAGCTCGTGGTCTCAGTCCTCACGGATATTTGCATGGGAAGCCCATTGTCGGGGAAAGGTAATTGCACTCAATTTGGGTACGAGCCTAGCTCCAAGGGCTATTTAACCAGATGTGTGCCCAGTGAAGACACTACGGCTGCATAACTGAGTGCGCACAAGACCAGGGAGACCCTCAAAGGATGGTCAGGCCCCACTCGTGTGATATCATTTCCCAGATGTTCACCAACATGCCGTGTGACCTGCAGCTGTCAGTGGAGGGTTTTGCTCAGTGCAAGTTGTATTGCTTGGCGCATAGGTGTCAAAATGCAGCAATGATAAGGCTGTTTAAAATAAAGAGTTAACACTGGTAAAAAAAACAGAACCGAGATAGCTGGCTGTCTTGTGGGTGTAGTAGACTCGGACATGGGGAACATGTCCTAGCTGGATTTTCCACTGCACGCATCTGCACAGCGCTTGCTGTTTGTCTCTTGTATTGAATTCCTTGTTGCTGAGACAACTCACTCACAAAGGACCCCACTGTGTGAACTATTAATATTACGTGACCCAATTAAGTGCCTTTTCAAGGTTAATTTTCACTCTTGCCCTGCAAACACGCAAGCTTTTGTCAGAAAAATATTTAGTTTTGTATTCCAATATGAAGCTAACATTCAGTGGAATAAATTGTATTTTTGTTCCATTGAATTCAAATTTTCCTCCTTGATCAACGATGATTGTGCGCTGCCTACATCGGACGACGGTTTTGAGTCGGTGTTGAAAATTCCATATTCCTATGGCCAAGGCCAGCCAACTAAGTGCTGTTTTACGTCCCACAAAGGGATACAGCCTCATTATATGGTGCTCATGTTTCTCAACCCGGTAGATCAAAGTGATGATTATGGCGCCGCTGATGATGATAATTAATTTGTTGGGACGATAATGCTGGTGATGATGAGGATCATGGGACTGAGTTGACCCTGGTCCGAGTGTGAACTTGCAGTCTTATAAATGAGGAAACATGCTGTTATTACCATTTGGGCTGTGAATTACTATCGTTTATGGGGAGAAACATAATTTTTTTTAAACAAGGTCTTTGTTTTGCAGGTGACCTCACGAGGAAAGGATATGAGAAAAGAAGACAAAAGCTGCTCTCACCATATTTATCGAAAGTATCAGGTATGAATTTTTGTGCTCGTAGAACGTGGCCGTTATGTGGAACGGACGACTGGTCGACATGCTAACAAAAGAGCCTTTCATTGCGGTTGACTCATAAAAATGTGGCACTTTAACCAAACGTCAAACCTGTTTCGGGCATCCCGAGGTATTCTCCCGCACACACGGACACGCACAACAACAACCGCCATTTGCCACTAAGTGGCGGTGATGTACCATGACGCTTGTGCCAGGCTATGTGCACGTGGCAGGAGGTCACGTTTAGCCCCCTCGATCCGGCCGAACAAAAGCGGTTTAGGCATGCGGTGGCTGGGCATGCGGGCTACATGACCCAGCCAACGCAGCAGCCTTGCCTACCGGAGGAGCTCACTGATGGGACTTTGCCCAGATCTTTCAAGGATTTGTGAGCTTCTCACACAATCCAGCCTGGTTAAACCCAGGATGGATGATAGGCAGGCCAGCCTAAATGTTTCTAACTGGCAAAGATGTTCCATTAGGGGGTCCACATTTCGCAAGCGTAGAGAAGGGAGGGAATGACTGTGGCCGAGAAGACCTGAAGCTTCGTGTGGAGCGACAGATCAGGTAGCTTCCACACAGCATTACGCAATCGATGATAAGATAATGCCACTCGACTGATTCGGAGTGAGACGTCTGCTGTCAAACCGGAGCCGGTCATGAGAACACTGCCCAGGTATGGGTAACTCTCCACTCTCTCCACAACTGCCCTATCACCAATTGGAAGTTGTGGAGGTGGAGTGTCCGATGGTACAAAATACCCAGGCAGGTGCTTTGTTTTGGTGGGGCTGATGGTCAGTCCACACCTTTTAGTGGCAAGCTCCAGGTTCAGCAGCAGCACCTCCAACTCCCCCTCTGAGTGAGCAGCAATTACCAGATCATCGGCATACATAACGTGGTTGAGCAATAGGGAGCCATCCCTTGACCGCACCCGGGTATTGATCGGCCTCCCATTGTATCTGTACTAGATGGAAATTCCTCCGGTACAGCTATTGAAAGCTTCACAAACTACTTGGTCGAAATAGATGTTAAATAATGTGGGATCCAGAGGACATCCCTGTCGCACCCCAAAGTGAACAGGGAATGGCTCCAACTCCTGGCCACATAGTTTTACCTGGGCCCACTCACCATCATGAAGGTCCTTAATGATCGTGAGCAGTGGGTCAGGGACTCCGAAAGCACGAAGAACAACCCAGAGCCCAGGCCTACTGATGGTATCATAGGCCTTGACCAGGTCAATAATGCAGAGCTGTAGATTTTGTTGGAATTCCCTACACCTCTGCTGTAGCAAATGGACAGAAAATATTACATCTGTGCCGGACCGCCCTTTCCTGAAACTGCATTGGGGCTCCGCAAGCCTCTCCTCAGCGTGCCTGACAAGGCAATGTTGAATAATCCGGACACACACATGGACACACGTGCACACTTGCTTAAATATTGAAGTTTGGTGTGCAGTGTAAATATTGATAAGCCAGTTAAAATATTTACATTCCAATGAAATGTGAAATCTAAAAAAAAAATATCTCTTAATTAAGGTGTGTGCATGTATGTACACGGTGCCTATTTATACTGCATTAGCTTATTGCTCATAGTCGCTGCTTTGTGGTAATTTGCCAACGTTTATTTGCATAGTGTATGTGCGTTGCGTGTGTATCGACGACCAGTCCTGGGATCTGTTGCGCAATAGGTTGAGTGCATGGTGTTCTGCACGTGCTCGTGTGTGTGCCCCGTGTGCGTGCCCGTGCGTGCCCGTGCGCGCGTCCCCTCGCGTGGTGTCCCCACATCCGCGCGTCGCCTGGGCAGGTGGCTCGAGCACGGAGAAGCTGCCGATGCCGAGCCCAAGGCTTAGTCCGGCCCCGAGCCCGGGTCCCCCGGCCTCCCCGCAGGACTGGCAGAAGCAGGGCGGCCACGCGGACGAGAGCTGCCAGTCAGGTAACCCCCACTGGTTCATTGTCTGCACCGACAACACCGGGTTCTCACTCGAAGTGGTGGTGGTGGGGGGTTGTTTGACCGTACTTTACTGTGCTGGTTTTGTGTGGGTAGTTGAAGGACCGGGGTGGAGGGTTATTAGGATCCATTCTGATACTTCTCATCACAAATTTTTGCAGTGGCCAGGAATCAAACTCAGGTGCCTGGGTAGCACGGTGTGCTACTTCATATGCCACTGAGCACATTGTTAATTTTGGCAGCTGCCTGACTATGCTGCTGTAAACACAAGCGAAACATCACGCCCAATTGTCAAATGTTCTGGATTGCTCTTCGGCGCACCAATGTGCTGCTGAAGCGGGTAATAAATTGGCACATTTGCTCACGTGGCGTCTTTATGAACGCTTTTCTGTTCCAATGATGTGCGTGTACGTCATCGGAAGGGCGTGGCACAGTTTGGCGCCAGCTATCGTATAGTGCCGTTGTCGCTACGGTTCTCTGCAATGAGTACAGCGTCTTTGAAGACAATGGCAATTTCATTGGCATGCAATGAGCGTTTATTCCTGGGCATATAAAATATGTACCCCCGAATGTGGATGTTGAATTGACTTCAGAAATAGCTCAGTTACATCACCTTCCTGGGACATTCTCTCAAACAGAATAGTTAACTTGTAGTTGCAAGAGTTCCATTAATTAAAATGTCTTAATCTCATGACACTATACTAAGCTCTTGTGACTCACTGATTTACACCCCAGTCTTGGCAGGGAGTGATATTCTGGACCGATTGGCTCGTACGTGGATATCCATCAATCAGATATTTAATTGTCAATGGAAAGTCCCATTTTGCCAGTTACCCAGCGAGTTTGCAAGGGAGGTCCGTGGTGCATTAGAAGGGAATGAAGAGCAACAACATCACAGAGGAACAAAGCAACAACGGAACGGATATAAATCAACGCATACGTCCATTTTGACTCGCCATTTTGACCCATTCGTATTAGCAGTGTAATGGCTGACGCGTAAAACAGAGATGGACAAACGAGTGACACCGGGAAGACGGGGGGCGGTTCAGTTTTGCATGGCCGTGGCACTCACTGTTGGCCTTGGTTAAGGGCGGCTGAGCTTGTTCACACCCATTCCCACCCGAGTGCTGTAGTGCGGCTGTACAATGGAACCATTTTTTTTTTTGCTGCTCTCAGTCAAGGATTGGGTTTCATCCATTTGCTTTGTCTCGTGCCCTGGGCCGTTGAACACTCGCGTATATAGCACATGACCAGGTACTGTAGTCGCTGTCCTGCGCTGCCAGCGTCATGGATTATTGCTCAAATACAATGCTGCCTTCTCTTGAGGCCTGTCCGAAGAGTTGCGAGTGCCATCTGAAGGCACTTGGGCTCCGCGGTTTGTTATGATTAGACCCAAATAAATGCATGCTCCTTGAGTGGTGGAGAAGATATTATGTTTGTTTACTCAGAAAAGTCAAACTGAGTCTCTTGACTCTTTTCAGGAGGGTCCTGTCAAGTTTTCGCAGAAGGGGGGCCATGATTGCAGTGTGTAATTTCTGGGTAATTTCCCGAAATTTGGCAAGTTTAGACTATTACACTGGCACACAACGGCCTAACCCTTGCGAATGACGGTTCAAATATTTTTCAGCGATGTTGGCCATGAGCGGAAATCGAAGTCGAGTCGCCGGGTTCTTAGCACAGTGCGCTAACCACTACACAAAGATCCCCGGTATAGCCTTCGACAGGCTATTGGGGCAAGTGCTGTAAGAGAGCACCTATGAAGGCCAGAACAGCACCACACAACCACCTTCAAACACATTGAGTAGATAGGCGCGTAAGTGGTGAGTACATGTTATTGAAACTTTAGTTTGAAAACACTCATTGCGCAACCCACCACCCTCAAGGAAAGCTAAACTAAGCTATTTTATATTTTATCAGGTAAGGCCCGCTATGCTATATAGCTCTTTTTCAGAAGCGACCTGGCCACAAATGATAACTAAATGAAGTGGCATGTGTGGAAATTTAAAGCAGCAAAATACTCCAAATGGCATGTTGCTTCTAAATGTGGAGGAAAAAAACCAGAGGACCCGGATAAAAATCCACACGACCACGGTAAGAATATGCAAACTCCAAATATACAGGCAACAGGGTCGGGATCGAACCCACATCCTTCTGTATACCAGGAGAGGTAGATAGCATCTCGCCACCATGGCACCCCCCAACGCCACCGTTCAACCTCCGCCCGCCCCAGCACTCTGGCACCAAACATTTACCTGTTCCCACTGGGCATGTAATAGATTAATCAAATTAATTCAGGTCAATTCTAACACTCGCAAGAGAGTTCAGCGAATCGCAAGTGAAAGATTTTATCATTTACATTTCACGTGAACGGAACAGTCACGTATTGGGGGAAGCAGTGGTTAAGTGGTTTGGCCTCTGTGCTAAGGGACACGAATTTCAATTGCTGGCCATGGCTAACATTTGTGATAACCCCCTACCCCCTTCACCATCCCATGCTGACTATCAAGGTGAAGCATGAACAAACAACCACCATGACCAACAATAAAATGGGGAGACCTTCATCCAGCAGTGGAAATTTATAGCAGCCAAGTACTGTAAATGCTTGTTTCTAAATGCGGAGGGAACAACCGGAGGACCCTAAACAAATCCATGTGACCTTGGGGGAGAGAGACACGCAAACTCCAAATATACAGGCATCGTCAGAGTCTAGATCGAACCCATGACCTCTTGTATACTAAGAGAGGGAGTTAACATCTCGGCACCGCAAAGCTTTTACAACTCTGTCTCTTCTTTCACTGCTCATCATTTATGACTGATGCGGTTACCAGTGTTGCTGACATAATTGCCTTTTTTTCGTCTCAATACCGGGCATTTGACCTTTCATTGAAATATTTGGCATTTCTCTCGCACTGTTTCATTCGAACAACAACATTGAGTCTCTAACCACGGGGACTCTCAAGTCTCGATACAACGTGTGTCGCCAATGTCATGGGGGGGGGGCAATTGGAGGTTTAGAGAGATGAGACTCGATAAAATCATAATGCTACCAAGTATGTGCACGTATGCAGTCTCACTGACCCAGCTTAAACGGCTGTCTAATTTTAACGATTTAATATGGGATGGATAGTACTTGGATGGGTGACCACCATGCATGACAGGCTCCAGGGCTTCCTAGTGGGCAGCGGAGGGCGGCAATAATTTAAGTCAATTGCTTTCCTATATCCGTGTGCTCCCACATATATGCTCACCACCTTCACCAACCCACACTAACCACTGCAAAGAAGTACGATCCAATCACGCCCATGACCCGCACATTTTAGGGAGGCCCTCATCCAAACAGTGGCTTGACAACTGGCTGTGCGTGTACAACTATGGACGAGAACTACAACGGGAGCGGCATCGTATTCTGTAATGGACACGTGAAACGTTGTGCAACTTGTGCCGCAGTTTGTTTATGAAATGCGCACCACCTCTCGTGTGGGCACAGACGCGCACGTGGCAGCCGTGAAAGCGGCGCTGGCGAAGCAGGGGGAGGCGCAGCTCATTCTGCCCATGCCCTCCAAGCGGCCGGCTGCTGCCCCGGGGCATTACAGATCGGAGATGCCCCAGCAAGGTACGTCAACCCACCAGGCATGGTACCGACGATGTAACGTCCTGCCTTGGCAAACTGCGAACTGGAAGAAAGTTCCACAAGGTGAGCTGGCTTGGTACAGGGCAGGACGCATCGCTGCAAAGGATGGCGGTCAATGGACGAGACTGGCGATGGAATGCCAGCCAAAGGAGGGAAACGTGCCCGAGAGAGGACATCCACCCGCGGTATATGGAGCGATGAGATCAGCTCGCGTGCAGGAGTGAGACGGATTGTGTCACCGCAGGACCTGGAGAGATGGTGGATGGTGTTAGGAGGTCTTCATTTCGCAGTGGATAGACCATGAATGATGGTGAAGAATCTCCAGACCTGCAAAACAACACTTTAAAAGTGACATGTTAGCGAACGCAACCTCACCATTTATACGCCGCTATTGCACGTTCCCGGTGCGCGCCAATGCATGAGAAGGCAGCCAGGCCCTTCTCTGATCCCACCGGACCCACAATCCTTCCAGAAAATCATATTTAATTCCAAGAAATGAATTGCGATATCCTAGACTGGGAATTGTGACGATCTCACAGCTCTGCTGACCCCATCATGTGTTGCTTTTCAGGAAGTAGGAACCCTAAAAGTGTTGAATCACACACTCACCACACTCCCTGCTTGGACCAGTGCCCGTTAGTTAAATCCACACACACTTGCCAGTATTTTATTTTTTCTGAATGTAGCCGCCCTCCCTTGGTAGACGTTGACCTTTTCTGAGAGGTGATTAATGTGGGAGGGTATGAAAGCAGAGGGGGCGGTAAGAGATAGCATATTTTATGAAGTAGGAGCATATTTGAACCATGGTGTTATAACATTTAAATTTTACTGTGACACATCTTTACTTGAATCTCTCTATGGAGGTGTGTGCCACTGATAATAAAAAAAAACACCTGCCATTTAAGACATTCAACCTGTTAACGATTTATGATTTGAAATGTTGACTATTGAATGTCAACAAAAAACATTGACACTATGGGGACCTCATTTGCCAGTAAAAATATGATAATTGGTTCTTTACCCTTCTATCTGGCAACAAAACTGACACCTTTTTGCAAGGAGTCATGTTTGCATAGACCGCAATACCTGCAGTCATAATACAAACAAAAGAACATAACTCTGATAATGTGCACTGTCCCTGAAGTTGATTGGTCCACACCCGAGACAGCTTTCCTTCGAGCCTAGTCTCATATGGGTTGGACCAGATGACGCCAAAAGGCGCACAACTCAAGGACAATGCACCATCAGAGTATGAGAGCTCGGGGCAAGCATCTACACTATGGGGACCTCATTTTCCAATAAAAATATGATAATTGGTTCTTTACCCTTCTATCTGGCAACAAAACTGACACCTTTTTGCAAGGAGTCATGTTTGCATAGACCGCAATACCTGCAGTCATAATACAAACAAAAGAACATAACTCTGATAATGTGCACTGTCCCTGAAGTTGATTGGTCGGGTGTGGACATGACTCCTTGCAAAAAGGTGTCAGTTTTGTTGCCAGATAGAAGGGTAAAGAACCAATTATCAAAAAACATTGAGTTAATATTTACCCAGGAAAGCCTCAATGAGTTTCCATTCCTTTTTTCTTCAGCAGTGTGTTTTCTTTTGAATATCCAGTCACTAGGGGAGGAAATTAGAGCACCTCAGGAAAACATGATAATGTCAGGGAATAGAAAGTCACATTTTGAAACCACGACGATGGTGGTGGTGGTGCGTGTTTTCAGGGTGAGCCATTTCGTGCCCACTACTTTGCTTGAAATATTTGAGGTTAGGCCACACAGCTCATTCCCCAAAACGATGTCAGGTTTTATATAATTAATAATGCACTTTATTTATCTATGAAATCCTTATTTGATTATAAGGATGTGTTTGATCAGTGCTTGGTCTGGGAGAAAACCGGACCACTCTGAACAAGAAAAAACTCGTCAGTATACGAAATATTAATCATTGAAAGATTCAATGATCCTTTGAAGTATTGCTGTCCCTTGACCACATCACAGCCCTACTCTCAGGCACTCCTCCAATGCACGTTTTAATCATTTTCTCAACCCTGCCTAGCTTCCAAGACACGACGACCTTGGGGGAGTATCTTCTTGGTTCTTTCGGTAAAGTCACGTGGAAGGGAAGTAATAAAATAATACAAATAAAACATGATAAAATTATTCTCACGACGTTTCGGCCACAACGCAAGCAGCCGTCCTCAGGTGAAGATCAGGTCTGTCGGGGAGACAGTGTCTGACGCTGAGAATTATTTTATTATGTTTTATTTTTATTATTTTATTAGTTCCCTTCTACGTGACTTTACCGAAAGAACCAAGAAGATGAATCCCTGCAGTCACGAAAGCTTTAAATCGAAACTTGGGGGAGTAATTGAGTGGTTTGTCGTAGGCGAAAGTCGTTTTGATCTGTCCCACTGCTTTTGCTGGATCGCTGTCGCTCGTTCTTTTCAGGGCCCTTGCAGAGTCCTGCCGGTCACACACGCATTGGTGTCAACGTCCTGGCAGACTTCAAGTCGCCCTCACTCCCAGGTAACGTTCCCAGCATTGTTTGGTCGGTTCGCGCTGCGTCGTGAAATCTTAACGCTCGATGACCCGACTCGTCTTTTGTCGCCTTCCTTTGCTTATGATGGAGCCACTTGATAGACAGAGCATAGTACTTTTGTAACTTATGGGTCCGTGTCCTCTTCTTGGTTCTTTCGGTAAAGTCACGTCGAAGGGAAGTAATAATAATCGGGGAGACAGTGTCTCCCCGACAGACCTGGTCTTTACCTGAGGGACGGCTGCTTGCCTTGTGGCCGAAACGTCGTGAGAATTATTTTATTATGTTTTATTTTTATTATTATATTACTTCCCTTCTGCGTGACTTTACCGAAAGAACCAAGAAGATGAATCCCTGCAGTCACGAAAGCTTTAAATCGAAATTTTGGTCCGTGTCCTGTTCAATTCTCTACAATAATAATGGTCATGTATCAGTCGACTGCTGGATAAAGGCCTTCGCATGCTGTGTTCATCGTGGGAGTTCTTTGTCCACACTTCACCATGCTGGTCAGTGCAACTGGTCCAGGATCGGTTCAGAATATGCGCTGTTAATGTCAACGGTGGCCTGGAAGTGAACTCCGGTTCGCAGGTTTGTAGTGCAGTGCCCGACATCACTGCACCACTGCCCCTTCCCCAATTGTCTCTAAATACACATGAACAAAATAGAGGAGTGTTCCTTTTCTCAAGTCCACCGAATAATAATGCGGAATGTTTTCGTTAAAAATTCCGTTGCAATATGCTTTAGATTTATGTTGCATCTACAGGCAACCACATCTCAAGACTGTGCAAAAGCAGTGTAACATGTGCGGGGAACAAGTAGGAATATATATACACTTAACGTATACATAGTATTTTGTAAGCTATGACACGGTCATCGGCAGGGGAGAAGATAAAAGTCTTGAGCCTGAACAGGTGAAGTGAGTTGATAATAAAAAAAATAATGAAGTCTCCGTTCCATTGCTCCTCGCCCACAAATGCATTTGAAGCACACGGACGGGCGCAAAATGATTCTCTGCCTCTGAATTTTCCAAGCGCCCGGCGTCTGTTTGTCACCAGATTGGCGCTTTGCGCACCCACCCCCCCAAATCAATTTCCTAATCGGATCCGAGGTGTACAGTGTTTCGCTTAGCCTGCTTGCCATATGTAACCCCAATTGACGCCCGTCAGCACAGTGAACCGTGTAAACACTGCTCTCGGGTTAAAGATTCTAATGCGCCAGCTTTAGGAGGCATCGATGCTCTCAATGCAGGCGAGATTAGCGGCAGCCTACGTGCTCCGTACGTGCACTTGCGTGTGCGTTGAATGTGCGTGCCGCACCTGCTGTATGCGGGCGCGTGCCTTGCAAATCTACGTGCGTGTTGTATAGCGCTTGGCACGCTGCGCTACGAACCCGGCCACCCGAGTTCGATTCACACTCACGGCCAACACCAGTGACAATTATCTGGACCGGTCCTGGGCCTCCTCTAGGTCGACTCAGCCTGGGGAGACAAAAATGGCTGGGCGTGGTGCCTGTCACCCACCCCGTCGTGTGCCGTGCCGGTTTTCATAGGTGTGCTGCTCACTAACATCACTTCCCCCAACAGTCTGTTAAGGATATACAGGGGTCTTTGTTATCAACGAGTGTAATGGATGTTAGTTATTACCTATAAAGTCCAACGTGGCACACGAGGGGGGTAGTGTGGTCACCGCTACGCCCAGACCGCCTCTCTTTGCCCATTGCGAGTTTGTTGACCCACCACACCAGGTACGGTCTGGCCGAGTCTTCTATTTGAGGTTGTGTGCGTTAGTGGCTGTAGTTTTATGTGTTCCATGGCCATTGTAAACTTTGTACTTGACCACTAATCAAGGTACAGCACAGCTTTTAACTTCACGGTAAACCATAGGCACGTATTGATGCGCGTATTGATCGGTGCGCTCGGGGATGCGTACATTAGATTCTGGGAGTGAGGACGTGTTCGCTACTCTGCGGCCCGTCCGCTTGTCACTTAGTTTGTCTTAACAGTGAGCCTTTCCCCTCAGGGTCTCGGTTCTTGATGCTGCAAATGATATCGCTCGTGTTAGACTTAGGCGAAATGGAGGGGGTTAAACTTTACGAATGAGACGGAACATTCGAGACCAAAAAAATCCAAGCGAGGTGAAAAATGTACCGATTGTTCAATGTAATTGCAACGGTTAATTTATTATTAAATGTATAAAATGTATAATTTGTATAACAAGCATCTCGCTGTCGCCATACTCATTGTAATATACAGCGAGCCTATCTGTATTGGGCATCTGTGTGCACAAACACGTGGTAAGTTGGAGTAAATAAGAAAATATGTTGCGGTCATTGGCAGGTAATTGAATGAGACTTCCAATTACCCGCCTCAATAACTCTAATTGCCTGCGATGTGGTTCTCTTCCAATTATCCGTGAAATTTGTGTAATCACGATAGCCTCCTCCTGACTTTAGCAACATAATTGGTGTCCCTGTGTTCGTGTATACACCAGTTGCGTTTGTTTTTAAGTGTGTCTCTGGGGGGGAAAGGCATTTGTGGGATAGGACTGATACGACTGTATCCCAGTGACACAGGTTCGATTTGTGGTTGGCATATTAAATATGGTTCTTTCGGTAAAGTCACTTAGAAGGGAAACAATAAAATAATAAAAATAGTAAACAATATTGTTTTTTTTGTTTCCCTTCTACGTGACTTTACCGAAAGAACCAAGAATATGAATCCCTGCAGTCATGAAAGCTTTAAATCGAAATATTAAATATGGTTATCTGAACCTGGCCTGAGCCTTATAAACCCAGCTATTCGTGGAAAAAATGCTGGTTTGTTATCTGCGTTTAGCACTGAACGTACATCTCGATGTACGTCTGAGATTTGGTGGTGTCCTGCGGTTTATCAATAATCCGGATTTATCTGCTCACCTCCAGACCGCTGTGGTCAGGTCTCGATTAATCCGGATCAGTCCCCAATTATATACACATGGGATGACATTGTTAGTTTTTTACAACCAGAAATAACTTCAAAAAATGTTCCTTGCTTTTTTTTGTTCCTTCATCATTTATCGATAAGTTAAAAATGCCTATCCGAAGACAGGAAATGTCAGCCATAATCGAGGTTTTTGGGTAAGATCGCGTATATATGAATGTGTCGTTAAACCGGCCACCACCCCACACAGCCAGTTAGTAAGGTTTGTCACGTAAATAAGCCATGCCAATTTGTTACTAGTTCAGCACACCGGTGTGTTGGAGAGTAAGGGAAAATGTCAAAACTGGGTGGTTTTTAACTTTTGCCGACAAAACTGGATCCCAAATGTCAAAACTGGGTGCACCCTGGGTGGCCAAAAACTTGAGTTTTGGACACTCAGGGTGCACCCAGTTTTGACATTTGTCAAATACACTTGATAATTGTATACTAGCACAGTGTGCCAGCACCCCATTCATCCAAACACTTGGTATTTGTATACTGGCACACTGTGCCAGTATACATATGGCAAGTAAGTGTTACTGTAGTAGCGAGCTGGCACACTGTGCCAGTATACAAACGGCAAGTAAGCGAGCTGGCACACTGTGCCAGTATACAAATGGCAAGTTAGGGTATGTTCGCGAGCTGTAAGTGTTACTGTAGTTGCAAGCTGGCACACTGTGCCAGTATACATATGGCAAGTAAGTGTTACTGTAGTAGCGAGCTGGCACACTGTGCCAGTATACAAACGGCAAGTAAGCAAGCTGGCACACTGTGCCAGTATACAAACGGCAAGTAAGCGAGCTGGCACACTGTGCCAGTATACAAATGGCAAGTTAGGGTATGTTCGCGAGATGTAAGTGTTACTGTAGTTGCAAGCTGGCACACTGTGCCAGTATACATATGGCAAGTAAGTGTTACTGTAGTAGCGAGCTGGCACACTGTGCCAGTATACAAACGGCAAGTAAGCGAGCTGGCACACTGTGCCAGTATACAAATGGCAAGTACGTGTATGTTCGCGAGCTGAAAGTGTTACTGTAGTAGCGAGCTGGCACACTGTGCCAGTATGCAAACGGGAAGTTGTGGTGCAAGGTATGGAACATGAGCCACGAGAAACATCATTTGGAACGCTCTAAATCTGTGGCGACATATGGATGAATAACGCAAGGACCTAAACGTGTACAAAATGATACATTAAATCGTACACCTTCTTCACCCAGTTTTGACATTTGTCCACATTGAACATCACCCAGTTTTGTCATATCAAAAAGCACCACCCTGTTTTGCCTGTCGTTTTCCAAGACCACCCAGTTTTGACATTTGGGATCCAGTTTTGTCGGCAAAAGTTAAAAACCACCCAGTTTTGACATTTTCCCTGGAGAGTAACCCCCCAAACATTTACAATTCGAATACGACGTTTTGCCAGTAATTACAACTAGAATCATTGGGCGGACAGCCAGAGTTGTGGAGAAATCCTCCTCTTAAATAGAGGGATAAATGTGATGTGACTTGTGAGCCATACAGATGCGAATCTAACCCAAAAACCTCTCATGGATAACCTTGGTCGCGAAAGCCTACGTGTTAAACAGGAAATGTCGGCGAGAGTGGACATGAATTCATTAAAGAGGAAATATTATTCTGCCAAATGACTTAAAAGTCCGGAGCAACCCTAAAGGGCTGCGTTGAATTTGGAGAAGTTGATTAACTGCATTTCAAGTAGAGTTGCAACTCTTTGCCTCCCACCCCTTCCCCACCGGAAAATCAATGGATTGTTGTGGCTCACGGTCATCGTTGGTTTCAAGAACCATTTCTTTTACATTACAGCAAGTGTGGTTTCCACTAATGGCCACAGCGATCACGTGACCCCATATTTGTGTGAATATGCGCTCACGTGTAGACTCTCACGCAATGTTCAAAGCACGCATTGTGAGCTACAGAGAATTGACTGGAATACAGTGATACGTTGTTGCATTTTTAATCTCGAGACGTCTTCGAGGACAGTGCCATTCACAACTCGGAATCTTCTTTTCTTCTGCCAGATCTCGTGGTTATAAATTCGACGCCTGACCCCCCCAAGGTCTACTTACATAATCTCCTTCGTCGGCTCTAGGTTTTCTTGTCTCAGCTCATGCATTCCCGGGTTATACATTCTTGCGATGTTTTTTTTTTATTTCTCTAAGGGCTAAGGTTATCCAAACAGGTTCATTGTCCTTTAACTTTGCGCAAGCCATCCTGGTTAAAAATAAACCACACCAGTCAGCTATTGCTCGTCTATATATGAGCAGAAACTTGCATGCACTTGAAGACACGAGAATGTGACACTTTCCTCTACAGCCTTTTAGGACACTTGGGGTCCGTTGCTGTCAACGAGCACCTGTTGAGGCCTAGGCAGCGCATGCAGGGGTGGTGTGGTTAACACAATGCCTGGCCACCTTTGTTTCCCCAGTGCTGATGTTTACACACACCGCACCAGAGGTACTCACTGAAGGGTGAAACAACCTTGGGGATGCTCAGGACCAGTTCTGTTATCACTTGCCACTTATGTTAGCCGTGGCTGGGAATTTAACTCACGTGACCATGTCTGTAATACATTGTGATGACACTGCGCCAGCACTCACCGAATGCAAAGTTCCCCCAATACAGCCTTTTGCAGACTGTTGAGAAAAGTGCTGTTAGCGATGCAAAAAACAACCGTTACAATATCTGCCAATTACCGCTAATTGATGGTGATGACACCTTATCGTCTGTGCCAGGCTAGGTATACTTTGAGGGAAGGTGAAGGATCGAAGGCTCGCTTGCAGTCGGTCACGTACAGAACCAGGTGTTACGGGGTTAACTGACTGAGACGACCGACAGATGGCACCACCGCCTGCACTGCGCACTGTGTCACACAGACGCGCGCACACACGTTAAATACACGGCCGGTGTACTTCTGCGTGTGTATCGTTGTTGCAGAGAGCCCGTCCCCGCAGCCTGACATCACCAACAACCCCCCACGCACATTTCACATCGAGAGGCCGCAGGTGGTTCCTTTTCGAGAGCAGCAGAAGATTCAGAGCGAAGAGCGGACAGAGTCCGGGAACGGTGAGTGCTCGAGGACATCTTCTTCGCCGCCCGTTTTACTTTCACCGTCACGCTGGATTTACGCGTCGTCAGTTGTGACCAAGCCACAATCGTCGAGTCGTTCCTTGGGGAGACCGGGAGAAGCCGTTGTTGATCGGCGTTCAATCGCCGGGTTGGTGACGGCATTTAGTTGGAATTTCACACGTAACAGAGTGGGCCGCGTTGAAGGCTGCCATCTTCCAGTTCGCGATCATTAACTTGGGACACGAGAGAACATTTTGGGGTTTGTTTATAACAGGTGGATTCCTGGAATCCGAGTTGAGAATCAGTGGTTGCTGGCTCATTGCTATGATGCAGGCAGCAAGCACCGATTTAATTTCAGTGTTTTTTATTGAATTGACGTCAACGATACTGCTTTTGGGGCTTCTCTGATTACTGGAACAAAGGTGGAGCCATTGATGTGTTCGGTCAGCAAAAAATGGAAAGTGAATGCCTGTTGATGATGAAGAATATAACATGTACATAAATATATATGGAACTCGTTTATTTAACATGTTTTCACAAATACGTGACATGGTTTTCTTTTTGTTCGCATCCATAACCTCCCACTTGTGGGCATATAACGTATATCTACACCATGTGTACATGCGTGTACACATGATGTACGATTCACGCACGTACAGATACATTCACTAGCACATTGTCTGTGCATACAGACAGAGACTCAATCCACTACTGGATGAGGGCCTTCCAATGCCATGCTGGTCACGCAGGTTTCTTTTGGCCGTACTTTACCACGCTGGTTGGTTTGGGTTGGTGATAGTGGGGAGCATATATGGATCAAAGTACAACCATTCATTTTGCGGCACTGCCCTCTGTTGAGAACATAGCCCCACAGCAGCCTACAATACCTGTGTTGTGTGTAATTATTGCCCATCCAAGCCCTCATTCATCTTCAACTCTGCTTGGCGTCAACGATCTGAAGAGATCGGGTGCGTTCCCAGTGATTTGGTCAAATGCACCTGCGCATACAACCACACTTATGTCCTGTACGTTAATGGCAAACGCAAATATTAGTTATTCTGACATCAACAGGAGATGTTTGGTTTGAGTCATACCTTGCGGTCCAGTTGTGTTAATCTGGATCCTATTTCTCGCTGTTTTATGGTTCCACCTCCACAATAAACAATATCCTTCTTGCACAAAGGGAAGTAAACAGATTTTAACGAGACCGATTTTATCGAACTGCTCATGTAAGACGAGGTTAAAGCATTTTATTGTCTTAAAACGTGAATTGTCGCACGCCTGAAGGAAGTTTTTTTTTATTGTTGTTCAATGTTTTAGTCAAAGCGTCTGCTCCTAAACGCATTTTTATTATTTTACTTGTAACTGGCTGTGGTATTAATCTGCTTTCTATCAGGTTCAGTGTAGCACTGGTCTAAGAAATACCTGGGGAGTTAAGTTGGTAAAAATATGTAAAATTTGAATTCAGCGCTCGAAATTTTAATTATTTTTCTAGGCTTGGGTTGAACTTTTTCCCTCCACAATTATTTGAGGTCCAAATGCAGATTTTGGATGATGATGTTACATTGCAATTTAGTACCCTACAAAATCTTGAAGTGAAACAAAAAAAATGGCCCTCAAATATTTGTGGGCCAAAATCGGTAATTTAGCTTTTCAGATTGGAATAGGTATAAGTGTACATTCGACCGTATTTGGGACAAATTTCAGCTTTCCAGCCCATTTTTAGGCACCTAAATTTATTTTTTAACCATCAGCTTCATCAGCGACTCACTCCCTCGTGGACTTTCAATCTATATGTAAAAGTTAACGGTGCAGGGCTGCAGTTACGAGCTCACACCACTGCCGGCAGAAAGGCCTCCGCTAGAGGGTCCTCAAGAGGCGTTCCGCTGTAGAAGCTATTTGTCAGACTTGGAAGAGGCAGGAGTGCCAACACTTTACTCCACCGCACCGCGAGAACTAACTTTTGACTTGCCATCTTTCTTTGATTGATAGAGCATGCAGATCCTAATTCACTATGTGCCGCCACCCCCCCCCCCCTGGTGTCTTCTTACAGGAGCTGTGAGCAACAGCCACGTGTCGTCCAAAATCCAACAGCTCCTCAACACGTTGAAACGACCCAAACGGGTGCCGGTCAAGGAGCTCTACACCGACGATGAGGACATGCTGGAAGGTATTGGCGTGGTCGGCGCTTCGCACCCAAATGCAGTGCAACTCCCCTTACCGGAGGGGGGTGGGCCGTACCTTACGTTGGCATCCTGGCACGGGAATTTCCGCTTTGGCGACGCCTGTGGCCCTGCGTGGACTTGTTTGGGCGAAACTGCTCATACAGTGCTGCCTTTTGGCACCAGTGGGGGGGATGCATGGCTGTAGGTCGTGACAGCCGAATGCGTTTAACGTAATGCAGCTTGGTTTTTAACATAGCCTGACTGTCCAACCGCTAAGACGTCCCCTCGACAGTGGCGCCAAAAATATTAGTTGTTTTTACTACATATGAAATATATTCTTGGTTCTTTCGGTAAAGTCACGTAGAAGGGAAACAATAAAATAATAAAATATAAAAAAAAGAATTTTTTTTGCTGTGGTTTTAACACCTGATGACGATTGCTTGTGTTGCAATCGAAACGTCGTGAGAATTTTATTGTTTTATTTTTATTATTTTATTGTTTCCCTTCTACATGGCTTTACGGAAAGAACCAAGACTATGAATCCATGCAGTCATGAAAGCTTTAAATAAAAAAAAACATATGAAATGTTGCCAACATTTCAACTGCACGGTTCCAACTGCTGTCTAATAATTATTTATTACGGTTGATACCTTTATTGACACTTGGTGGAAATGTTAGGTGGCTACGGGTTTTCCATGAACCTGCCAGGTTTCCATGCAGCTGTCTCTTACATTCCTGTATTCATATATATAATGTAAATCACACAATGTAACCGGGATTGGCCCAACATCTCAGTGCTGAAAATGATATACGAATCATTCAATGAGGATTACACACACAGCAGCATCATCCTCGACTGTAAAAACTTGGCAAGACCCCTCTTGTAAAAAAAAGTCTTGAGATACAGTGAGGCTTGCCTGGCTAAAAAAAAACGTAGTAATGATATTATAATAATATAGTAATAGTCAGTAACATCCTCTCATCAGTCCACTGCTGGGTGAAGGCCTCCACATTTTGTTGTTGGTCATGGTGGTTGTTTGTTCATGGGTAGGGGGTTATCGCTAATGTTAGCCATGGCCGGCATTCAAACTTCGTGTTCCTTAGCGCAGAGGCCAAACCGCTTAACCACTGCTTCCCCCAATACGTGACTGTGCCGTTCACATGAAATGTAAATGATAAAATCTTTCACTTGCGATTCGCTGCACTCACTTTCGATTCGCTGAACTCTCTTGCGAGTGTTAGAATTGACGTGAATTAATTTGATGAATCTATTACATGGCCAGTGGAAAACATGTAAATGTTTGGTGCCAGAGAGCTGGGGGAATTGGGCGGAGGGTGAACGGTGGGGTTGGGGCTGCCATGGTGGCAAGATGTTAACTACACAATGTTTGCTTATGACTTTGCGATATAGTTTAATTAGCATTTTTATGTCCCAATGGGCTAGCCTGTCTGTGTTTATATTATAGTTCTATCCATATCACTTCGGTGGTGAGATGTTAACGACCTCGCCTGGTATACAGGAGGTTGTGGGTTTGATACCGACCTTGACGCCTGTATATTTGGAGTTTGGATATTCTTCCCGTGGTCGTGTGGATTTTTCTCCGGGTCCTCTGGTTTTCCCCTGCACATTTAAAAGCAACGCTTCTATATATGTCCATACGATAAGCCACTTCATTGAGTTCTCATTTGTAGCCAGGTCCCTTCTGAAAAAGAGCCTGATAAAAAAAAAAGAGGGTTGGGTCGCACACCCAAGATGCTGAGTTCAAGCCCCCCCACACTGTACTGTGTTAGATAAAAACAACAAACCTCATCCGTAAAGGGTCACACCAGGGTTTACAGACTGTGGAACTCTTTAAGCTGGCTCACTGGCTTGCAATCGGCGCCCGACTGTTATCTTGAGACCGCACCGCGCATCTGGCTGTGCGTCGCTTTATTCGAAATTGCAGAAAATATTGAAATATTGCGCGGGCGGGCGTGCTGGCTGGTGAGCGCTTGACCCCTCGTTGGGGAATTTTGGTTTCCTGTTTGCACGCGTACACAAGTGGAATGTGTTTCACAGCTCATTGCTCCAACCTGTGCTCATTCGGCGAGCCTGCCCGCGCCGCCGTGTGCAGATGTGAGCTGTGATTACAGAGTGGCGGCGCAGTTTACTTGGGGGGGGGGGGGGTTTATTGAGCTTGCTAAGCCAAAGCACCATCTCGTGCGCGCCTCCGTAGCCCTGCCAATGTTAACAGTCTCTGCACGCCTATTGCACCTCCCAACTTCAGCTGTGTGAGGTTTTTTATAGCAGTGCCCACGTGAGATTCCATCTCATAAGCAACAACTGCCAGGCACAAAAGCAAACATCTACAATGTGAGTCAGATCAGTCTTAAGTGAGCCCCGAGCGAATGCAGGAACATGTGGTTTGATTTTGTGGTGCCGTTTTCTCCACGTGTTGAGATGGCCTAAAAAAATCTATAGAAATTCATTTTAACTCGCTAATTAGTGCAATTTAATTGTTTCTCAAAATATCCTATCAGTTATACAGCCAATTAATGAAAAAGAAACCGACTTAAACGGAATGCAGATAAGTAGGTGAAAGAACTTGGCACGAAAGTGAGGGAACCCATTCTTTCTGTTGTGTGCATGGTGTATGCTAAGCAGCATTTGGCCTGGATAGCGATCGGATGGGTGGCCACGATGCACAAAAACAGCTGCTCTCGGCTGCTGCGGGGCTACGTTATAAGCAGAGGGCAGTGCAGAAAAATCCATTGTTGTACTGTACTAGGCTCTAACATCTATGCACCGCACCTTCTCAACCCACACTGACCGATGCCTTGAAGTATAGTAAACCTCATGGCTGGAACAGTTTGGGGACACCCTCATCCAGCAGCGGAATGACAAAAGGGGCTGTTACGTGTACACATGTACGACGCAATGCAACATGTTCAAAGAATTTAACCGATGAATGATGATGGTGGATATAACTGTTATAACTGCCCGTTTGGCACGCACTTTTTTTTTTTTCCCTTCGACGACCCAGTTCCGGTCCAGGACCCGAATCGACCCCGGCCGGAGGGGGCGGAGATGATCCCGGTGCAAGGAGAGCCGCTCGGCGTGGTGAGCAACTGGCCGTCGGCGCTGGAGGCCGCTCTGCAGCGTTGGGGGATCCAATCGGCCAAGGCGCCCTGTCTCACCGCCCTCGACACCAACGGGAAAGTGCTCAACACGCTCGCGTACGGTGCGTGAATTGCGGCGGTGGTAACGGTTCGCCCCCCCCCCCCAAACCATCGCCCCCCCCCCCCCCGCCCCCAACGGTTTGATAAATTGTATGTATGTAAGTTCAACATCTTTCGCGCACCGTACGTCGCAAATCGCGCTAATGGAAGGTGCGGCGGCAAGACAACAAACTAGCACACTGGACATGGGTTGCGATCCACGGGTGGACGCGGATCTCGGGACGAATCGGAACAAACACTGATGTCATTCGCAGACAGTAATTTTCATGATGGCTGATGTGTATGCAATTCGATTCAAGAATTGATGCTCTTCAAAGCTTTCCAACGAGCGTCGAGATTCGTTTATATGCTATATCTGTCTGTAATGGGGCAGAGGGCACGATAACTCTCATAAAGATGGCGCGATAAGAACCATTCTCGTGTAAAGTTCATCTTCTTACTCTGTTCGGTTATTGCCACATGCGAGAATTCGTCAACATTTGTTGCTTAATCCCCCACCTTCCGCATGGTCTCCGTCGTATAAACTTGCACACTGCTATTGGGGAGTTATGCGTGCGAATTGGCACGATCGTAGTGGGTACGCACAAGTTCTGCAGTTTTTTTCTAAGCCGTAGAAAATGTGATCGTGTACTCGGCATGTTTCTGTTGTTGTTGCTTTGTTTACAGGAAAATTGTTCAGCAAAAGTCGTAAAATGGCCTTCACGCTTTTGAACAAGCTGGGCACCAAACAAGATCAGCTCCTGAAGCCCGGTGACAGGGTGAGAGACGCTTGAACAGCCCTTTACTGGAGATGGTTTATCTTATTTACACGTAACTGAAGGATCGACGGTGTCGCTGAGTCACAGTGACCAAGGCGACGGTATCAGTTGGGTATGCTATATCGTAATGCTTCATCGTGAGGGATCATGGGAAGGTTGCCACATCCTCCTCCCTCGAGCGTTTCAACGACGCTAAACGCCCAAAGCGGTTGTTAAGTGGTTCACGATGCTCGATATTCAAGTTTGGCTTTCCGCAAAACAATCTAGCCGCCGGCCACCAGGAGAGGAGAAAGAATGGAGATGTTATTTCTGTGAAGTGAGTGTGACATTCGAAGTAATCCTCAATTTTTGTTCAAGCTCTCCGTTTGCATCCAATGTGAAGCGGGGTTGATGCCACTCCACATTTAACTGTGTTTGTGCAAAGTTGAGTAGCGTGGCCGTTATCCAGTCGGGTTTTTTTGTTTTAGTGACTACCGCTGGTCTCTTATGCTGTGATTCATGCATTGTGTTTACAGCCGCCTCCCAATTTTAACCTGCTTGTGATTGGACAGAACACAGCACGAGGAGCTGATTATAATGATCATACTCCGTACGTGTGCCATCAGCCTTTTGTTATGCTGCTACCGGATAAGTGCCTTCCAATGCTGTGTCGTCAGTGTTATTCGGCCGTAATTTACCATGGTGGTCAGTGCTGGTTGTTGAAGGTGGGAAGCGTGGATAACTCTTCTTCCGTATGGCATTTTTGGGGATTGCAACAGATTACAAATTGATGTCGCTGATGTGTGCTTCAGATCGCCGTTGAATGATCCGATTGGGGGCAGTCGTTCACGAGATGTTGCACGGTCTGAGATGTCGCACCAGTCACAAACCGGACTGTGCCCCCCTGCTGCCCACACCATGTCCCCCACAGCGACCTATTTCACCTGTTGAAGAGCATCATGAATGATATTTTCACATCCAGGCACTGTCATTGCCAAACCTGCTCAACTTCTGAAATATGAACAGATCGGTACATTAACGGGCAATTTGGTGAAAGGCAAAATGTATTCACTGCATTCAAAATGCGTTTATACGAGGTGCGTATAAATACTCACGTTGCTCATGAGTTCGATACATTTTGTGGAAAGACATAATACGTCACTATCCATAACTTTATTGAACGAACAAAACTTATTTTTTGTGAGTGAAACGAAACCTAACGTGTGTGGGGAGCGGTCGTGTAGCGGTTAGCTTCGTACCCGGTGACCCGAGTTCGATTCCTGCTCATGGCCAACACCAGTGACAATGATCTGAACTGGTCTTGGGCATCCCGTAGGTCGACTTAGCCTCAAATGAGTACCTGGTGTGGTATGTAAACATCACCACTGTAGAGACAAAGGCGGTCGGGCGGAGTGATGTCAGCCTTCATAGGTGCTAATCGTTAACAGCACTTGCCCCAACAGTCTGTTCAGGCTATATACGGGGGATCTTAGTCTTTGTCTGTGTGTCCGTGCAGGTTGCGCTCGTTTATCCCAACAGCGACCCTATCGCCTTCACGCTGGCGTTCTACGGCTGCCTCCTGGGCGGCCTGGTGCCCGTGCCCATTGAAGTGCCGCTCACAAACAAGGTAGAGCTTTCGTTACGATTAAAATTGAGGCCATTGTGTGTCTGTATGTTGAGCTTTTTTTCCTCACCCATACGTAGCCAACCGTCCCAATCGGAGGTGTGGGGAAAAATGCCAAGCTGTCACCAACTCTGGTAGGGGGCGATATTGCTAAATTTTTTTTACTCAATTAAAATATCTTCAATTATTTTTTGTTTGTTAATTGTCAAAGATGGACTGTGATGCCAGCATGCGTGGCCTCCTCTCTCTAAAATAATGTCACAGGATCTTCAACAACTGCAATTTAGTGGATGGGGATTATTGAATGTTAATACATCCACAGTTTTTACCATGGCAGTTATTTTTATTTCTATTTGCTCAATATTTTTTCCAGGTAAGACCCACTGAACTATATAGCGACTTGGCCGAAAATGATATCTCGAGGAAGTGGCTTATCATGTGGAAATTGATAGCAGCCAAATACTCTTAAAAGCATGTTTCTAAATGTGTAGGGAAAAACCGGTGGACCGGAGAAAAAAAACACCTCCACGGGGAGAGAGACACGCAAACTCTACATATACAGGGGTCAGGGTCGGGATCGAACCCACAACATCCTGTATACCAGGCGGGGTCGTTAACATCTCGCCACCGCGGTGCCCCCAAGGTTCATGCTTCGAGCCGTACAGCTTCGTGCCGATGGGCTCGAAGCATCAACCTTGGCAACAAGCGGCAAACACGCGACCACTTGGCGGCAAAGACTTGACCGATTGGCCGTGTCAGAGCTCTCTGACGTACACATTGCTCAGGATCTATTTAGGTCATCATCCTACAAACCATTGTAATTTTACGTTTGTGTTCGCCAATAAATGACGCCTATTTTTTGTTTGCTCAGCCATGTTTAGAGAGCAGTGATTGTAGAGTCCGCAGACTCGCCAGCCTGCTCGTTTCGCCCTGCTAAATGTCCGCTCAATCACTACAAAGTCACTTTCTCATCCATGATCTCCTGCTGAACGGCATCATTGACATTCCTGACTCGCTGAAACTTGGCACACAACATCTGAGCTCCACTCCCTCTCTGAAGCTGTCACGCCCCTGGCGAATACACATGTTTCATTTATGATGTAGAGGCTTTTGGCACACTCTTTAACGCTCCGGGAAGGCTTTGGTGAGCTGGTAACCCTTGATAATTGCCCGCGCTTTAATTCCGCCAGGACACGGGCTGCCAACAGATCGGGTTTCTGCTGGGCACCTGCGGCGTGACCGTGGCTCTGACCAGCGAGCTGTGCCACAAGGGGCTTCCCAAAACTCCTGCTGGCGACATTTTCCAGTTCAAAGGTCAGTGCCAGTGCTTGTACCCCCCCCCCCCCCCCCGTCGCGCAATGAACTCACCCTGAGGAAGCTCGTTTGGGAGCTGACCCCGTAAACGGTCATGATGTATCATCTGGCCACTGATGTGTATAGCAGTCAACCACTATAATTGCACATTGAAGGCCCCCCATCCCCCCACTGATCGAAATCGTGGACTTTTGCTGGTGTTGCCTTGCTGTCCTGGATGTCCGTGGGGGCCCATTGGCCCTGGTGACTCGGTTTCACCGTCTGAGGCTGTTCCACGGTGTTGCTGTCTCTCCCCTCTCCTAATGTTGACCTGCCCCTGACCCCTCTTCTACCCTCATGTAGTTGTCTTCGTTTTCGTAAAACGTCCAGAGACGTTGCTATAAGTAAAATGGAATTGTTTTTGTCGTTCGCGGCTCTCCCACTCATTGCGGTCGCGCTTTTTCTGCCCGCTCGTTCTCCCCCTCTCCCCTTGTCAGGCTGGCCCAAGCTGCACTGGTTCGTGACCGATTCGAAGAATCTTTCCAAGCCGTCCAAGGACTGGATGCCTCAGATGCGTGACGCCAATGACGACGCTGCTTACATCGAGGTGCGCATGTCCTCACGGAGGACGGCGGTCGAACGGCTGCAGTCTCTCTGCGTCACCTCTTTGCGTTGTTGCGTTATTGTCTTAATGGCTGTCAAATTAGCTGCTTTCTCATTTAATTTGGTTTTATATTTCTACTCATCCTGTTTGGAATTTACGTGTAAGTCATCAGTTTTTCTCCGGAACGGAACCGGAAGAAAAAATAAAATAACCTTATCGGTACCGAGGCTTCCACAAGGCCAATGCGGGGGAGGGGTTTGCGGCACAGTTTGGCGCCAGCTATCGTAGAGTGCGGTCGTGTCGCTACAGTTGTCTGTGGTGAGTACAACAACATCTTTAAAAATAATGGAACTATTCCTTTCTCTAAATAAAATTAACGCTCGCCACTTGCACGTTCCGAGATTCAGCGATGAACGGCAGCAACCCTGCAACTTGCAGACTTCTCGGAATGGGAAAGGGTTAAAATGCAATGCAGCTACTTCTGCGTTGGCTCAGAACGGCGTTTAAATGTGAATGCATCTCAGGCAGTTGTACAAGAGTGGGGGGGGGGGGGGGGGGGGCGCACATTGGGAGGAGAAGTAATGAAATTAGTGACAAGGAAGACGGTGGAAAGAGTGGGGGGAGATGTGGTGTCATAGGTAATTGGTGCAATGTGAGGAATAACTTGAACAAGGGGATGGAGTCAGCAGTGTAATGGAGAAATGCACAAGAGGCCAATTAGAGTTTTTTGCAATTACCTACAGCCATATCTCAAGGTGTATCTGTTGTATTGCAATTGTGAGTGCCGAGAGAGTCTTTGGAGTGTCGTAAAATGCTAGTAAGTGTGCTGCTATTACGCTATGCTGCAACATCACGTGAACTGCGATCATCCTCGCAGCGACTTTTGGCGAGCCATCGGACGTAAATGGTCACTGCATCGTGTGCTTTCAGATGCGCTCTTGCGGCCGTCTGGAATGCTCTTCCGATATTAGGAAGCCACTGGAGCAATGCACATTTTAAATATAGATGGAAAACGTATTTCTTGAGAACTGCTTTTTGTGTTTAGTTTGTTTTCGTTCCCCCGCACCTCCGATTAGCACGGTTGGCTACGTATGGTTCGAAAGAAGCTGAACGTACATAAATACAAACCACCTGGGTTCAATGCCTGGTCACGTACAACACCAATGGCACTTTTATATATATACAAGACAGTTGCTGTGAGCAAGTTTAATTTAATTTGCAGTCTCTTGCCTCCAATTCTAGTGTTTAACAGAGTTGCTTGTGGAAATGGAGGTTTGAACGGTCGGGTTTACACTTGCAATCATCTTATTTGGTAAACTAGTTACTGACAATTTTATTGGGCTGAACTCTTACTGGATTGTAATTAAATTTAATTTGGATAGTCATTTCCCCCTTAACCATTGGTAAATGTTATGGCCAGCTCTCCAGGTAATCTGCGTTTCGGGTGCGTTACGCGTAAAAATGATGAATTATGGATTACATTTTAAATTAACGTGTAACGAAGAGGCAAATCCAATTTTTACTGCATGACTTAAGTTCGCATAACAGATAAAGACTGACGCTAGCGCGGTCAAGGAATGGCCATATGATCCCCAGGGCCTATTAGGGGGCGTTTGGCAACGTGTACCACGAAACTACAGTGCATACTTTGAGCTGGTCTCTTGGTTATTGTTTGTTTTTAGGTCAAGGCCTTTCACAGTAGTCCAAAGTAACATCGCAGTTAACGTTTAAGGCTAGAGCTAAAACTACACGCCGTAAGGTAGCATTTACGTTTGTAGATTATTTATCGAATTGCTTTCGGTTTCAGTTGGTGTTGATTGTGTCTCCTTTTACTCGCATGGTGTGAAAATTGCTAAGTATATATGCCAGTCTGAAGCCTCCTCATGGAATATTAGACGGTAATGGCGCAGCCCTGCAATGATTTGCTCACCCCACTGCTGACGGATGGATCTCTGCGAGAGAGCGCTCTATAGAAACCCTCCAGTGGGTATAATTATTATAATTAATATTTTTCTTGTTTACCCAGGACTGCCTCTGTGTGAGTGAGTCTCATGATGCATTTTCAGGAGCGTCCTGCTCACTTTTTTTTGGTGTGGGCGGGGGGGGTTTGCAGTGATCCTTATGTATATTCCATAGTGAGTAATTCTCAAGTAATCTTTTAAACCTGGCCAAAAATAAATACGTGGGGGGGGGGGGGGGGGGGAGACAACGTGGCGGCTGGGCGTACGGTGCCTCGAGTAACGCGCACGAACGCTTCCGCAGTACAAGACAAGCAAGGACGGCAGCGTGATGGGCGTCGCTGTGAGCCGGGTGGCAATGCTGGCGCACTGCCACGGCCTGACGCAGGCGTGCGGATACACCGAGGGTAGGACCCCACCCTCCAACCACGTCCGCACCTACATGAACGCCTGCGTGCCCCCGCGTGTGTTTGTGTGATTTATGTTTGGGTGGAGCTGCGCTGCGAACTCGGCTGCCCGAGTTCGATTCCTGGTCATGAATGATAACAGTGGCGATTATCCGAACTGGTTCTGAGCCTTCACCTAGGCTGATTCGGTATCTAGTGCTGTGGGGAGACAAAGGGGGCCGGCTGTGGTATTGGCCACACATCACCCCGTCGTGCACTGTACCAGGCAGTCATAGGTGCTTACACTTGTTCCAACAGTTTATGTAGGCTATATGGAGGCTCTTTGTCAATGTCATTTATAATTTTCATCAGCTTATCGAGGAAAGCCACAGCTAGCATTGTGACTCGGCTTTCATGATAGTCATGTATTACGATATTTATGCCCCCTCTTGAAATATTTGCGAAATGCTGTTATAAAAATCTGCTTAAATTGTCTCTCGGTCCAGGATAACAGTTAACAACCACTCATCAAGACGATTACTACTCGACGGTGAACCTTTTTCTGAGCAGAGATGCATGCCTCATGAATAAAATTAGGACCACCATCATCCCATGATTATTTGCAATGCACTATCCAGGGTGCGCTCAAAGCCCAGAGCCAGTTCCCAATTTTTAACCAAAGTGGAACTCCATAATAGAGTTTTTTTTCGGGGTAGATCGCATCAACATTAATGTGTCTTTCAACACGCCACCACCTAACAGCCAATTGGAAAGGTTTTTTTGCGTAAACAAAACGTGCCAATTAGTTACTAGTTCACACCGGTGTGTTGGAGAGTAAATGCACAACATTTATAATTCGAGTACGGCATTTGGCTAGTGATTACAACCAGCTTCATCAGGCGATAGCCAAATTTCTGAAGAATTCCTCCTGTATCAGTCTTGAAGTGGAACTGCTTAACCTGCCGTTTGTCTGCGCACAGATTTATCACCCTTGGCACGTGGCCAGGCTCGTGGGCCATCGGGGGGCAGGCTGGTGCGGTGTAAAGTGTGCCCCCCCCCCCTTCTTGTGTTTCGCCCCGTGCAGGAGAAACTCTTGTCAATGTGTTGGACTTCAAGCGGGAGGCCGGGTTGTGGCATGGCATCCTCACGGTAAGGCTCGTGGTCGCGGCACGTGTGGGCTTGTCCTGTTTATTTGCTCGCATTGAGGCTCGCTCGTCTTGACGGAATGTCCAGACGGTGGCCTTATGTGCCCGTGTGGTGCCCGATAACAGTGTTGGGTGCTGGGCTGCAGCTGCTCGCACTTTGTGCGAAGCGCTCGTTCATTGTCAACGTCTTTGCCCATCCCTCCTTCTTTGCCACTGTTTGGGCGCTGTACCTCTGATTGGCACCTCCGATTAGCACGATTGGTTACGTACGGTGCGAAAGCAGTTCAACGTACATAAATACCTACATATGTAAAATAAATCATGTTGGGATAGTGGGTATTACCTGTCCTTGTTTTGAGCAATGTGGCTTAACTGTAAATATTTGCCTGGCAGTAATCCAAAGCTGTAACCTCTAACCCTGATTCCAGCCATAATCCTAACCTTCATGCCAACCTCAACTATAATTGCTGCACAAATTTCTGAATCCCATGGTATATGGAGTGAGTTTCATTGAACGGCAGTTGCGTTGTTCGTGCGAGGTAAGGCGGCATACAGACCACAGAGTTGAGAACATTTGTAAATAACCTGGCAGGGGTGGCTCTTCGGCACACATAGAACCTCGTTTTACAGACGTGGCTTTTGGCTCCTACAGCTTAGCGTCAATCCACAGAGAAGCCCCCTTTTGTTGTTGTTGCTGCTGCCAGAGCAGTGCACAGTTTTTGATGAGTGTTTGTTGTCCTCTGCCTCCTCTGCACCCTCCACGCAGGGCGTGATGAACATGATGCACATCGTGTGCGTGCCCTACACGCTCATGAAAGCCAACCCCCTGTCCTGGATACAGAAGATCCACGCCTTCAAGGGTTAGTTCACCTCCACTCGCTCTTTGCCATCTACCGCCGACAGCAGATGTCTTCGTCCGTGTTGGCAGTGGCGTGGAAGCTTGAGCTGTGGATACTCTTCTACCAACTTCATTTGTCGTTGAAAGTCAAGTGCCTTGCTGCTCAAGCAAAAGCACTTATCTCCAGTAAGACCCTGAGCCAAGAGTGGAGAATTCAACATTCCCACACTGAGGGCCAGTATCTCCATCGGACAAACACTGTTGACTTCCTGCAAACCGGTACTCCCTTCATTGACTCCATTAAGATAGTTGGTTCACCCAATTGGGATTTGAACTCCATAACTTAACGACTGAGAGCCGCTTGCTCTGACCATGGCGCCACGTGACTCAACCATCAATTTCGTGATCATCATCACCATCATCAGCATCAACCATGATCTGTCCACTTGTGCACGAAGGCCTCCCCAAGCAAGCTTAATAAGTGTTTTAAAAAAACGGAGGCGATTTACGTTAGGCCTAATTTCAACCACTATCTGTCTGGATCAGTGACCCGGAAAACAAATGTTGCCACTCGGCACACTGCATCCTCTATATCTCTCGCTATGGCTGTGGCTACTAATCAGATGCCACCTCCCGGCCTACTGCAGTCTACCAGTGGAAATTATTGTTGAGTCTATACGGTGATCTTTGTTTCTTTGTCTTTGCGTCTGCAGCAAAGTTGGCGTGCGTCAAGTCTCGGGACATGACCTGGGCTCTCATGGCCTTCAAGGAGCAGAAGGACCTAGCCCTTGGCTCGCTGAGAATGCTGGTGGTGACGGACGGCGCGTACCCATGTAAGGGAGGCATGCACGTGGTGCCACCTGAGCATCGGTCCCTTTTTTTAGATTTTCTCTCTCGATAAATTGTCGGGGAGGAGTGGACCAAAGGTAGCCGTGGTGTGCGTGGAAATAAAAATATTATTCACCCCTTTTCCACGATTCATTATTTTGAAGCAGGGATATATTATTCTTTTCTCATCTTTATGGATGTGGCACTTGTAGTTGATTAAACTTTTCCACTCACCTTTAGTGTTTCTGTGAACGAAGTGCACTTATTAATTTTTTTAAGACTTTATTGTTATGCACGTTATTCGATACATGTACCATGAGTCTAAAATCACTTTTAATTGGGGAAAACCTTACAAACTTATATACTGTTGTTCTTGCATGTGTCTGGAGGAACGGTAGCGTAATTGTTTGTGCCCTGTTCTATAATAATGTTTTGTTTAATATTGTGGCATTCATGCACATTGCTTCTCACAAATCACTGAGCAACCACAGACAAGCTGGAAGGCAGCCATGCTATGAGCAAACAATTGCCCAAGCTTTGGAGTCCTCTATATATCAAGCTGTTTTCTGCCAATTAGTGGGTGTTTATATGATCTAGGCCTTTTGTGTTTGGTGGCTGTTCATGGACATCAATAGCAAGTGGTGTCTATATCTGTACTACTAGGCCACTTTTAGGTTGACTTGGCATGATTTTATCATACTTATTATACTTGTTTAGCCAGGAAGGTTATTTACTAGCGTCCCGCCAAGTTGTCGCAGAAGGAGGCAATGGTTGCTACGCATATTCAAATGTTAATCAGGATTTTTTGACCATGCTTCACCATGCTGGTATTGTATGGGTAAAAATGTTTGATTTTTATGTTTAATTAACAGTGTGCCCCCATATCTGGTATCGTTTGTTAGTTCTTTGAGGCAAGGCATTGAGAAAGGTTACAGAGTGGCAAAAATGGAGAGTGTGATGCAGAACACATAGTAAAAGTGGCCTAAATATATCATACTGGTGCAGCCTTTACGTTCTGTACTCTAATCATAGCTATATATTTCCTTACATCTTTGAGTAAGACATTCAAATAGTGTGGTACACGCTGTTTTGTTTCTATGTTGATCTTCTTTCGTGCCGTGCGTAGCCAACCGTGCGAGACTGAATACCTCGTGGAATCAGGCTATGTGCGTATCACTTCATTGCAGCGTCCGCACGCGCCATGTGTTTATCATTGCAGGGTCCGTGGCGACTTGCGAGGCTTTCGTGAAGACGTTCCAAGGCAGGGGCCTGCGTCGTGAGGCCGTGTGCCCCTGTGCCTGCTCACCCGAGGCCCTCACTGTATCCATGCGCCGGTGAGCCGTGCCACTGCTCTCATGCCATGCCATAAATATCGGAACTGTTTAATTGTCGCCACGGCTGTCACCGATTATTGATGTTCATGAATGTATAGTTACAGACGAAGCGTTTGACAGGTCTCCCAGTTAGTTATTAACATTTTTAATTGACCTGTTTTCGAGAGAGTGTATCGTCACCTTCGTGCCGATACGTTGCACTTCACCGGCACCGCCACTCGCGTTGTGTTGTTCGTTTGCCTCCATGATTTTACTGTTTAATTGTCGCCACGGCTGTCACCGATTATTGATGTTCATGAATGTATAGTTACAGACGAAGCGTTTGACAGGTCTCCCAGTTAGTTATTAACGTTTTTAATTGAACTGTTTTCGAGAGAGTGTATCGTCACCTTCGAGCCGATCCGTTGCACTTCACCGGCACCACCACTCGCGTTGTGTTGTCAGTTTGCCTCCATGATTTAACTTCTCTCAAAGCAGAGCCACTAGGCTGTTGTTATTCACAATCTCAGCGTGTGGCATTTGACCATGATGTGCAAAAGCAAGTGTATTACACATGCCTGTTTGAAACCACAAACTCACTCGGCTGCTATGATGCTTAATGCATGTCTACTTAACGTGTTCTCTAGTATGGCGGAGTGACAGATGTATATATAATGTATATATCAAGTTGGCTAGAATGGTTATTTGAGCATTGATGGACTTGTGATTTATGTGCATTGTCGTTTGATGGCATTCCAACCGCGAACACTTTACACTGCACTACAGTATGTCTGTATGTACGTGGAACTCTTTTTGCACCGTGCGTAGCTAACTGTGCTAATCAGAGTTTCAAGGGGAAGGACAGCAAACTAAACAGAAAAGCAGTTCTAAAGAAATACATTTTCATTCTAGATTTAAATGTATATAGCTCCAGTGGCTTCCTAATATTGGAAGAGCGTTCCAGATGCCCGCAGAAGCGCATCTGAAAGCGTGCGGCGGTGCAGTGACCATCTTTGTTCGATGGCTATCCAAAAGATAACCTGATCACATTGGCTCAGGATCTGATCATTTCTGTAAAAATAAATTCCATGGCATCCACAACAGGTGCACGTTTGCACACGGTTTGTGTTTAATTTCCATTGAAATCAATTTTTTCCCCCCACCAAACAAACGCACATTCACGACAACCCAGTTTTTCGTCGGATACCTTCCACTTGCAATCGCTTGATCTCTCCGATCTCCCTGCAACTGCCGCGCTTGGGCAGAACTCTCTCTCTCCTTAGGGTGCAGTCGATAACCGCGCTGTTCGCCCACAGGCCCTTGACGGAGGGAGGCTCTGGGTTCCCTCCTCCCGCCCACTCCTCTCTTGTGCTTTACGGCCTGAGCTACGGCGTCATTCGCCCGGCGACGGACGTCTCGCAGTCCGCGCTCGCCCTGCAGGACGTCGGCAACGTCATGCCCGGAGGTGAGGCTCCCATCGGCTCTCCGAAGGCGATGGGAAATGTGCACACCGATTTGTGGAAAGTCAACAAGGTGGGGGGGGGGGGGGTGGAGGGTGGGTTGGGGGGAGGTCATCTCATCGGTAAAAAACTGGCCTTTTGCCGTGGAAATGTGGAATTTTCACCACTGGCTCTGGGCTGCCCCATTTGCTTGATTGGAAAGGGAGATTCTTGGATTTTATCTGACAATCCAAATTCCAGGGACACGCTCTTGTCGAGACAAACGTGTGTGGGAGCATCTTGGGGCCATCTGATACAAGTATGAAGCTGCTCCTGAGAAGTCGCTTGGAAAGTACAATCACAAGGTTGGACTGCGCTGCCATTTTCAACGCGTGATGTCACCGAGGTGTGACCCGTTTATATGCAAGCGATAAGCTATTGGAAATTTTTGGCATTTGCTCAAACGTTTATAAACTGCGTCTTGCTGCTATTATTTATTCAGCGATAGACAACTGTGGACCGGTTTCATCCTCATCAGGACTCATCAGCGGAGTTTAGTCATGAGTGCGCACTGCTGCCAAGTACTTCCCAACTATGGGGCGTCCACCTGCTTGGCTAATGCCAGCAATATTCAAATCTGCAAATGATGCAAAAACCCTATCATAGGTGCAACATGAGGCATATTGTAATCTTCGGAAAAAGTATCCTTACTCAACACAAATTCCCAAGAGACACTACTGTGCCCCTCTGACTGCACTAAATTGACATTGCCGTGTACAGTGCATTATGGGATTGCATGGTGATGTGTCATTGGGGTTAAAGTGTCATGTTTCGTAGTAGCCACAATGAATTCAGTGCAGGTGTTGTGGTATGTGAGGGAAAAAAACCGTCACTTTCCTTCCTACGCAAAGTTATTTAATTCATGCCATTTGCACAAATAATATTTTTAATAGTTAAACAACATTGTGCTTTGGTTTTTTAGTAGTACCTTCCACGATGCTCTGTCGATGAGTGCTGATATATATACCAACATGATTCTGAAGCTTTAGCTTCATCTTGAATCATTTAATCGTTCAATTTAATCTCTCACCATTGAACCGATCCCAGCCATTGACAGTCACTTTAACTCTAAAGGTGATCCTTCCATTGACCCACTCAAATCTGTTGCTGTTACCTTGAGAAGCTTCATTGCCAAAAGCAAACAGCTTCCTTCTTCTCATCCCATAAAATCCCCGACCTTTAATCTCTAGGTTTTACGTGCAGGTATCAGCGCATGCGTGAAAACATTTTTTTAAAGTTTTTCCGGAAGAAATCGCATAAATGATTTAAAGTTTGGACAGAATGCAACCTTTTTCTCGGGCTCCCAAAGATGACGGGAGTCTGTTTTCTTGAGTTATTTATGGGGTTTTTTCTTCCACAGCATCATTTTATATTCTCTTATATGCCTTTAATATAAGATAGCTACAAACAAAAACGTATTTTCAAGTGTATAGGTTCTTCTCTTCCTTTGATATCGATGTGTTTTTGTGCTTGCTTGTTGTCCTGCGCGACGCTGTAACCGACTACAAGGGTGGACATGTCAGGGCGATGCACACTCTTTAATCTGCAATAAAACTAATAAAGGACACGAGGAGACGTATCCCCACGTTATGGACATATTTAGGACCACGTGGTAACACGCCCCTTCTACTTTGTCTCTGGTTAGCTCGGTCATGTGACCGCGCTCCAAATTTGCAGAGTAATGGCCTGGCAACTTATATTAATTGGAAATGTTTGCCCCAGTGGAGTCTCGCTTTGACTCAAGACCATTTTAAGGGGTTTCCTGTTTCAAGGTATTCAGCCAATTATTAGTTTTGAGTAAAAACACATGCTATGAAGAAATCGACATCCAGTTCTGTATTTCCATGTAAAAATGTAAACTGGCTTCTAGCCTTTTGGCCTGTTTGCGCAGGAGATTTGTGTTGACCGGCAGCGTTTGTTTGACCTCGTAAACTCAGGACAGAAATTTAGAATTTCTTGGGGGTGCTCATCAGCAATCAGGAGTGTTGAGACTAGGGTCTAAAGAAAGCTGTCTCTGGTGTGGACAAATCAGTTTTAAAGAATATACACATTACCAGAGCATATTTTTTTTTGCATGTTCACCACAAGTACGTGTGGTTAATGCAGACATGATTCCTTGCAAGAGGTTTCTGTTTGGTGTTTTAACAGCTCACCTGTTTTATTGCCAGAAAGGGTAAAACCTATTCTTATGTTCTAGTTTTGCCAGGCGTTATTGGCAAGATCACTCCTCTGCCAACGGAATAATTTTTATTTTATTTTGTATCGATATTAAAATTTGCACTGTAATGGGGCATTCTGTGTACAACCGTAATAAACATAATTTAACTAACAAATAACTTGCCTTTGAGCGAAAGTGAGATGGCCTCTGTGAAATGCCTGAAACGCATCCCAGATACCGTTGAACAATTCATTTTTTTCGGCTCAATGTGTTTAATACTATATCAAAAAATAATGAATATTTTTTTTAAACTACGTTTTGTAAACATATGTGCGACTACTTGTGCCTGCGGCCTTTAATTCGATTTTTTTTCAAACGCCTTGTTAATTATTTTCTCTGATCTCTGTTCTCTCAATGGGCTTGCACCTGACTACACAATGAATGAATAAACACGTTTCAAGCTGCTGCTAATGTGCTGTGTATATGGTGCAAGCTCAGCCAAACATATAGCTTGTTTGTAAGCACATTCAGCGACTCGGGCTTTGTAAATACTATCAATTGTATCAGTGAGTGTGCGTGTGTATATTTTGTGTTGGGAAACAGTGGCGCAGTGGGGCTGACCACTGTGTTACAAATTCAACGGCCCCAGTACTTCCTAGCGGGGCTCCCTAAAGAACCCTATCGTGGATGTCCTTCCACCAGCAGCGACGTGAACCGGCATTTGCAGCGCTGTACCTTTAACCTGTGAATTAACGCACATTTTCGTTGGGTGTGTGCGGCGCAGCGATTGCGTGTGTGGTGCGGCCCGACGGACCTCCACAGCTGTGCCGTGAGGACGAGGTCGGAGAGATCTGCGTCCGCTCACAGGCCACGGCCGCCTCCTACTACGGCCTTGCCGCCATCACCAAGAACACCTTCGAGGTGGGCAGTGAGCTCCACGATGCACCAAGGGCTTCATTTCAGCCATGTCAGGCTGGGTCGGCGACCCCGGTAATGTCCGGGAAATTATTAAAACTTTCCCGTTCCGAGATGTGTCTGCACGTTTCCGGGTGGGTGTCCTGTTCACCGCTGAATCTCGGAACACGCAAGCGGTTCAGCGTTAGTTTGTTTTTAAAGACGTTGTACTCACCGCAGAAAACCGTAGCGACACGACCGCACTTTATGATAGTTGGCGCCAAACTGTGGCACACGCCCTCCTGCATGGCCTTGTGGGAGCCTCGGTACCGATAAAGTTGTTGTATTTTTATTTTTATTCCGGTGACGTTCACGTACGTACATGTTCATCATCCAAACGGAATCGGAAGAAAATCTGATGACGTACACATGTACGTGTGACGTACACATGTACACATGTACACATGTACGTCATCGGAATGTTAAAGGGTTGATAATAATTGTAATGCACCGCCTCCCACGGCAAACTAGGGACGCTAGCATTTACTGCAATTTTAATAAAAAGAAGCCGTTCTTAATTTCGATCATGAACCCTGGATTTGTGACAATTCATCAAAGGGTCAGCGGGCTGTGAATCATTCCAACCCAAGTGGGTGGTGCAATGATGCATCCCCTTCTCTAAAGACCTCAAATAAAAGCTAATTTACAACAGAATAAAAAGTACATCTTTGAGTCAGGGACTCTTATGTGCATTCTGTGAATAAACTATATCAGTTTGGTTGCACACACAATTTCTAAATCCAGTTAGGGGTAAAGTCATTCATTTAACGAGGTGTGTGAGCCCTTTGCGATGGTCGTCCCTTGCAAAGCAGCAAACCACGTACTCTGTGCGCCCACTCTTGCTTGTACGGTACAGTACGTTTATTTTTGCATCTTTCGGCTCTCTTTTTAAAGGTATCGGTTACATTTTAATGTGCAGCAGCGCGCGTAGAGATGTATGTCCAGTGCTGTTCATTAATGCTTTTCTGTGGGGTTTTGTGGTTTCGCCAACTATGCGTTATGTGTTCCGGGAACGAATGTGGTCATCGCTCTCACATAGTTCTATATTTTTTATTTGTTGCTTGCGCGGCATTAGCTGTTGTCTGCCGTTACCAAATTAATTACGAAAGTCAGTGCGACACAACTGATAAGGCCTTACGATGCACACCAGGCCATACTAGATGGGCTTGCGTGTTTGTCTGTGTCTTTGTATATATTTGTATTTGTGAGCCGTGGTTACCTACCACTGCATGCATTTCAATCCCAGTGGGTCCACTCACACCAGAGTTTTTATTACACACACCGCGCACCAGGACAAATGTATTATTTTGCCATTCCGCTATCATGGGCCCCCATTATGTCTCTTTGTACTAAAATGAGAGCATCTGCTGTGATCTCATCAGCATCCTTATTGACTGGGGAGATCAAGCTGTTTGGTTTTGTTGGTAGTGAGTCACATCACTCTCATACATGCTACCCTGAATAGCTTTCTTGCTAACAACACCAAGGGGGGAGGGGTGGGGGGGGGCAGCAGTGGCCGCAGCGTTTAGCGTACAGCGCTATGGAACTCAACGACCAGAGTTCGGTTCCTATCCACTGCTCACACGTTTGACGAGTGATATTCGAACCAGTCCTGGACCGCACCCCCCCGCCTTAATCAATTGCCGCCGATGAGTGTTGTTGACGATAGGCCAATACAACCTCCGTAAAGTGGCACGGCATGGGGGGGAGACCTTAAACCTGCAAGTGGATTGACAGTTTTTGGACAACAGCGCCAAGCCCTGCGCTCTTTAATAAAAAGAAGGGTCTACAAATGGGAACTGTCTCTGCGCGTGTGTGTTGTGTGTCCATGCAGGTGTTTCCAGTGAATGTTGTGGGAGCTCCATTCTGCGAGCATTCCTTCGTCAGGACGGGCCTGCTTGGTTTTGTGGGAGCGGTGAGTAACGAGTCCCTTCGCAGTCGCACTGTCATCTGGTCTTCTGTGGTGAATGGTACCCAATGGAATATGTCAGCAATGTGTGTGTGTGTCGATTCGGTCACTGTTCTGGGCGTCCAAATATTTGTGGTTGGGTGTGCTCGTTGCTGTACGTGTCTGTGTAATGTATATGCATGTGGGTGTTGCTGTGCTGCATCTGCCAGTCATCTCAGTTAATCAATCTGCGGCACCTGGATCTGCCCCGTGAACTCCTGCCGGCGGGCGTGCGACACCTTACGTGGCCTTAAAGTGCACATCGCCTGGCACAAGCGCCGTGGTGACGTCATCACCACTTAGTGGTGAACGGCGGTTGTTGTTGTCGCTACGCTGGGAGCCAGAACTATAGCAGTAGGAACACGTGGATCAGTAGAACACGTCCGATTGTATGCATGCATTCTGGTGTGGCTGAGTTATGCACCCAAGGTGTTTGTAATTTTACGTGAGGTGTATGCCTGTCTTGCTGTGCAGGGTGGACAGGTGTTTGTGGTGGGTCGCGTCGAGGGGGTGATGACGGTTGGCGGACGCCGCCACAGCGCCGATGACCTCATCGCCACTGCCCTGGCCATCGAACCGATCAAGGTGGTCAACCGTGGCAGGTGAGCGGAGTTTAAACAAAATCAAAGTCATCATGAGAGAGCGGAGTAGGTCACGGGACCAAGTACTAAGTCAGACTGCCGAGGTTTTGGGTTCAAACCTGCGGGTTGTCATTCGGAGCGTAAGAGCCTCTAGTGCAGAGCGTTTTATATCCTCAGCACAGTAACGTCTGTATAATTGTGTGAGTTCCTCATATATTAAGGATACATTATACAGTTGCAAGTGTAGAGAGTAGCTCACCTTTTTGGAAAGCCAATTAGTGCAATCTAGAGGGCGATCAAGAGAAGCAAATTGAAAAGATTTTGATAAAAATCTTCAAGCGGGATTTTTTGGGCTTTTCCACTTCAATGTGAGCGGTGTCCTTTGTGCGATCAATTTTAATCGGAGCAAGGTAAGATTTGCAATACCTGCTTTTAAGTAAGAAAATGCTTATTCATTTGCATATGAACATCTCGTAAAATTGTACTTCATTATAGTGGTTGGTTAACTTGGACGTTCCCACTCGGGTCTTTCAAATCACACGAGCATTTAGCGAAGGGAGGTTGAACAAATGCGGCGGCTTTCCTAAACTTTGGCCATGACGTCTACGCACAGCAGGCTACTGTCATAAACTCCAGGGGTGTGGTGGCTTGCCTTGATGCGCATGCAAACGTGCGCACGCATGCATACGCATGGACATGTACACGCTCGAAAATAGAACTTTTTTGTATCGGAGCTATCACTTGTTTTGTGATGGTAACCAGGGTGCGATCTGAACGGCTGCATTTAACCGAAGCCGCTGGCTCTTGTCACTTCCTGCAACATGAGAGACGGCCCCGTGGTGTTTTCCTCCGTGCTCATTTCCTGCGCGGAGAGCTCCCGTCGAGAGCGCGCACGGGAAAAACAAACCGCACTTATCAGCGGCGCCGGCTGTTGCTGCTGCTGCTGCCGCCGCCAGGGAACAGGACACGTCGGTGCCACGAGCATTGTGGGTCAGGAGGTTGTGACCGCCGCGTGACTGTTTTGACCCCTTCTTGGCTATCCCAGAATTCCCAGGACCAAGGTGAAAGGCATTGAGAGGTAATCTAGGTCATCCCGTGCTCGCCTAGGTAAAAGATTTCCCACAAGGTGGGGAAGTCGGCAGAATTTGCACTTCTGTTGTATGGCGTATTGCAGAGATAAGAAACAGATTTTTGGAACAGCAACAAAAAAAGTTATAGATCAATGTTTAGGTTCTTTTAGCCATTGGACGAGGTGTGAATGGTGCACTAAGGAGAGTTGTTTTTATTTATTCACGGTGGCGTGCTGGCACGAGTGGAATGTTACACTTGCTCCTCTATCTGTTAGGATCGTGGCTTTCTCGGTAACCGTCCTGCGGGACGAGCGAGCCGTGCTCGTCGCCGAACAGCGGTCCCAGACCTCCGAGGAGGAGTCGTTCAAGTGGATGAGCCAGGTCATTCAGGTGAGGAGAGATTTTACTGCCGCACTATTGTTTTCCATGCGAGTCGCAGTAGTTGTGCGTAGTCATAACACGCGGTCCCTCTGAAAACAAAAGTCAACGGGTTGTGTTTATTTCCATTGACAGCTGAACCTGTGGTGGACATTTCACATCCCTATGGCAGGGGCTAGTCATCTGCATAGTACTCAAACAGCAATATCTTAGTGATAATAATGAGGACCACGTTATCACTGTTAGCGGTGTCCATTATTATTATAACTGCATTTGGTGTATGTTGTAAGTGTTCTCATCGTGAATACGGTGAATATTGTCTTGATCATCATCAATTTTGCATGTAATCATTAGAATTCGAAACATTTTATTTAATTTTACCATCATTTTTTAACCATCATTGCCCTCGAGCAAAGACGGTCACTGCATCACACGCTTTCAGATGTGCTTCTGCGGCCGCCTGGAATGCTCTTCCTTCCGACATGAGGAAGCCACTGAAGCTGGGCACTTTTAAATCATCTCGATTGAAAACGTATTTCTTTAGAACTGCTTTTTGTGTTTAGTATGTTTCGTCGTTTCCCCGCACCTCCGATGAGCCCGGTTGGCTACGTACGGTGCGAAAGAAGTTTAACATCCACACGTAGATACATACATACGTGGTCATGGTGGTAGTTACAACCACCATCATCGGCACCTCCTGACACCTGCTCTTTGCCACCTCCAGGCTGTGGACACCATCCACCAGATGGCGCTCTACTGCGTGGTGGTCGTACCGGAGAACTCGCTGCCCAAGCTAGCGCTGGGCGGCGTTGACCTGTTCGAGACGCGGCAGCGATTCCTGGAGGGCACCCTGCACCCGTGCGGGGTGCTCATGTGCCCGCACGCTGCCATCACCAACCTGCCACGGCCCCGCGAGAAGCAGCAAGGCAAGCGGCGGTCGTCGCTGGATTGAGGGGGACTCTTTGGGGTTTTCTCGAGTGGCAGTGTTTTTTTGAGAGCGACTAAGCGGCAAATCTAGCGACTGTTTTGGACGAATTGCATAATGTGAGTCGGGAACAATTTTAGGTATGGCTTTAGGAACCTGTGTTCCGTTTCCTTCGCTGAAGACTTGGTAAATTGTCTAGGGACATATGACTTAAAGCTTTCGTGACTGCAGGAATTCATATTCTTTGGGTCTTTAGGTAAAGCCATGTAGATAGAAAAAATAATAACAATGTCACGACGTTTCGATGGCAACACAAACAATAATCTTCACGTGAAAAAAGAAGACGATTGCTTGTGTTGCGATCGAAACGTCGTGATATTGTTATTATTTTGATTATTTTTTCTATCTACGTGGCTTTACCGAAAGACCCAAAGAATAGGGACATATTATTGGTTCTTTCGGTAAAGTGACGTAGATAGAAAACGAAAATCTAAATTAAAAGCAAAAAACCCACGACGTTTCGATCGCAACACAAGCGGTCTTCTTCAGGTGGAATGAAAGAAAGGAAAAAACTTTTAATGTTCGTTTGGTGACTTTCCCCTTGAAGGAGTTGGCAATGCTGAAGGCAGAGATCGTTTTCTTGCTACGATCGCACGAGCCTCGCTCTCTTCTCCGCCGCACCACCCGACGGCAACGTTTAATTACGCCGAGATTGTGATGCCAAGACTTGGTGTAAGACGCTGACCCCCACTTAGAAGTGGGTCAGGGCATGCAGAGCGCTTGCTAAATGAAGGGAGATTTCTTAATGAACTTAAATTCTTGACTTTAAGCTTTCGTGACTGCAGGAATTAATACTCTTTGGGTCTTTCGGTAAATTCACGTAGATCGAAAATAATAAAAGTAATTTAAAAAATCCAAGTTTCGATCGCAACACAAGCAATCGTCTAAAGTTGATGATATCATTTCCCAGGTCGACGTAGCCCTTAAAGGTTTGGGACACATTCCTGCAGACGTGGCGAGATCAGAAATCGCTGCAATCATAAAAAACGCTAAAACCAATTAGCAACATCAGCAAGGATGAGCGCTTTGAGCTTGCTCAAGTGAAAAAGAGAGATGACATTGTCATCCTCTCAGCTGACACTGTCATCATGGATAAAAACACATACAGCAACAAAATTCAGGACCTACTTAATGATGGCAGCTATACCAAAATCAATAGAGATCCTACCAACCGCCTGGTTACGAAAACCAACAATATCATCACTGATTCGACATCTTTAATCGAACCAACCAAGCGTCTCTCTCTAAAACCCTCTGCTGCTAGACCACCCAGATTTTATGGCTTACCAAAAATCCATAAAGAAGGTACACCACTCCGTCCTATTTTCGCCACGATTGACTCACCCACCTACAAACTGATTTTTGTCTGAGACCATGCTGCCATTCACTGGCAGAGACCACCTCAGCTGTACTTAATTCAGCTCACTTGGTATCTCTAATTAAAGACATCTCACTATCTCCAGGTGATTTGCTTGTCAGCTTCGATATAGTTTTTTTGTCTACCAAAGTTCTTGTGCCTGCTGACACCATCGCAATCATTGAAGATTTGGTCCAACAAGGACTGAATGCTGGAATGGTACATTCTACAAACAAGTTGAAGGTACCCCAATGGGTTCTCCCTTATCTCCAGTGGTAGCCAATGTTTTCATGGATTAATTTGAGACAGATGCCATCCAGACATCCATCCAACGTCCTTCCTTGTGGAAGAGATACGTAGATGACACGTTCGTCATCTGGCCACATGGCCTGCCAGCTCTGAACCAATTCTTCAACCACATCAATTCCATACACCCAGCCATCAAATTCGTATATTTACTTGCAAATTCCATCTCTAGCCCCGCCCACTTACCCTTGTGTTGTACCCATCTCAAACCTATATAACCTTTGACGATTGCTCGTGTTGCGATCGAAATGTGATTTTTTTACTATTTTTATTATTTTCTATCTACGTGACTTTACCGAAAGACCCAAAGAGTATAACTTAAATTCATAAAAAGTTAGTCAATTATATGACCACTCTGAGACATGCAGTGCACAGTGTGATGGTTGATATGCTCTGTAAATGTGAATTTGTTAATTATTTTATTAATTAGAATTGACTGCCTCGGTATTCCACACTGGGCCAGGGTGGTGTTATTGCCCAGCCTGGATCCTTACCCCTTATTTAAGCTTCTTCACCTCTCTTATCCTCATCTCCTTTCCAGAATCTTGCTTTATATATTTTTTCTGAAAAAAATAGCATTATTCCTTGCATTTTCTCATATGGCTTATTGAAGTGAGGTTTATTTTAAACACTCTAGATACATAATGCCGATACTGGGTCAATCCTCAGTGTGACGCGCACTGCAGGCGACCTTGGATAATGCTTCCCGATGCGCGTAACCGGTGTGTTTAAGCCGTGGTGCATTAATGGACTTCGTCGTGTGTGCTCGGCAGAGATGGCACCGGCGAACATGATGCTTGGAAAGCTAGTGACTGGGAAGAGGATCGCTGAGGCGATTGGTCGAGACCTGGGCCAGAAGGACGACGACCAAGCCAGGAAGGTGACCGTTTTTACGATCTCAATCGGTTCCATTTGCTTGCAAATGTCACCACCACCAGTGTGTGTCAACAAACATAGGGCTTTGACTGTGAAAGGACAAACGTTTGTTTTGTTTGAGATGTATTTTTTTACTCCCGGCGTTCCGTTCGGCAAACTTAATTCGGCGGCTTGGCACCGATGCGCAATACACACGCACGGCTGTGGCACGGCGCCGTCCGTTTGAAGTGTCGTACCCCGGCAATGTAGGATGTGGCTTGGCTTCTGCCAGGGCAGACGGGGCTGACGCACGTGGCAAAGAGAGTCGCAAGAGACGTGCAGTCGTTCATCGCAAAAGAGCCGCGGTGTTTTGGTTTTGCGGTGAATGTGAATGCAGGCGTGGGGGGTGGGGGGGGGAAGCGCCTGTTGGGTATGCGAGTGCAGCGGCTCTGTTTTGTGTTTTTTGTGGAGTTGCCCTCGTGCCAAAAGTCTCAGGGAAGTCCCGCGGTGGTGCTGTTCCGCCAAAGAATTGCGCACATTGGACGCGACGTGGGGAAGTGTTTTTCCTCGAGCGGATGTGTTTTCTTTAATGTCTGAAACGTTCTGGCTTGTTGTTTTTAATGCCTTTTTCACAGTTTTTAATATATCCAAACCGCAGGGAGAAATAAGTGAGACTTCTTGGTTTTTTTTCGGCATGAATAATGCACAGTGTCTGCGCGCGCGCGTGTGTGTGCATTGTTGGCTTGTGCGGTTGCATTTATGGGAAATGGTAATGCAGAGGTTTGCACACCGGTGCTAGGTGCTGTCATGCTTACGGCCTACTGGGTACAGGGTTCTAACTATGCTACAATTGGTATCTAAACATGACATGGGCTTCACCTATGTTGATTAAAAAAAAGAGAGGTTAGGTCACACGCATTAAAAAACTAGATAAATTACTTCATTACACTCATCTCTTGTGTGACTGTATCCCTGAATTATCAGTGGCTAGTACAGTGAAAAAAGAAGGTTACTCTGCATTCGGTGGTTGTTTATGGTGTCGATTTCTCAGAACGACGAGACGTGACGCGCCGCCGTGGAATATTACCCTCCGCAGCACGCGTGCGTTCATCCTCAAGCGGCGCGTCCTTTCTGTGCTTTTTTGTCAGCGTCCGCTTTGCCCGAGGAGCTGTAGCTCGCAAACACGCGAGCGTGACTGACGTAGCCGTGTTTTGGCGTTTGTGCTGCCAGTTCCTCTACCTGTCGGACGTGCTTCAGTGGAGGGCTCAGACTGCGCCGGACCAGAACCTCTTCACGCTCCTCAATGCCAAGGTAGATGCCGGTGTTCGTCTCGCAGTGGTGAAGTCACCCTGGCTCTTGCAATGGGAGTGGCTTAGAGACGAAGGTCGCGTCGAGGTCACCGAGTGCGTCGCCTCGCTCAAACGCGCCGGGGGGCGGCGCTCATCTCTCGGTTGGCCAGTTTGGAGCCAGCGGTGGGAATTCACACTGCTGCTACGGGCAATTGATAATATATTTTTAGTACGCACTGCTATTGTGGAAGGAGAGGCTGAGAGTAATCTTGACAGTCTTCATTTAAGAAGCCTAACGAAGGAAACGAATCTGTTAATTCGTACTCCAATGAGCACTGTGTTCGGGCTTCTGCCCCGCGGAATTTCTGTGCCCCCCTCTTCCTTTGGCACTGCTCACGTTTCTGTGCCAGGCTCTTGTGGAATAAAAAAAAAAACTCTAAAAGTTGTATTCATGTAGAATACAAATGCAGTCACGTCACAAGATGCTTTTAGACAAAGAACAAAAAACACCTTATGGTAGAAGGGGGGGCAGGGGGTGGTGGAGGGAGTCGGATCAGGGAACCAACTGGGGAGAGGAGAGAGAGCAACACCGAGCCATCAACAGCAACAACGATGAGCCCTAGTTGGCAGCCAGGGGCAGCAGCAGCAAGACATCGCAGGGCATGCTGTGTGCAGTCTGAGCCCTTTTCCAGTGAGTCCCTAACCATCCACCAGTGTCACCAACTTCGCTGTCCTTTGAAGACGCCGTGCGAGACATGTTCTGCGCTTGCATGCGTGCGGTGCGCAGGGCGCGGTGGCCTCCACAATGACATGTGTACAGCTGCACAAGCGTGCGGAGAAGGTGGCCGTGCTGCTCACGGAGAAGGGCAAGCTGAGCAAAGGAGATCACGTGGCGCTCATCTACCCGGCCGGTATGTCGGAGAGTTCTCCCGTACTCGCGCGTGCACACACGCACTTGTAGAAAGAAAATAAACCTCAGCCAATTGGCTCGGTTGTATTGAGCCACTTCACACCGATGGAGGGTTGATGCTCAGTGATGCTAAACTTCAAATATTAGTTGCACTGTTTTTTATATGCATCCATTCCACACACGACTGTACAATACCCTCAGTAATTCACCAATTTAATCCACCTAATCTGCACAAAACTTCACTGCCCTTCACAGTGAGCATTTGCATGCTATCACAGTTTTTTTGTAGTACACCCTCCATGGACACTGGTGATCGTGCAGTTGAAGTAACCGATGGCTGGAGATTTTCAGCAACCGCGAGGGACATGCTTCGTGCTCTGTGCGCATTGTTTCGTGCCAGGCCTGGACCTGATAGCGGCGTTCTTCGGCTGCCTGTACGCGGGCTGCGTGCCCGTGACAATACGACCGCCAACGCCGCAGAACCTGTCCACAACGCTCGCCACCGTCAAGCTCATCGTCGAGGTGACTTTCGCTAGAGGCGGTTGCGTGCGTGTCTCATGCGAGAAGAATGATAACAATAATATTTCGCGTACCAATTCACAATGGATGGAAGGCCTCCCTACACCGTGTCGATTATGGGGACTGTTTGACCATACTTCACCACGCTTGACAGTGCGGGTTGGGGGGGGTTGCCCAGGACCTGTTCGGACAGTGACTCGCCACTGATGTTAGCCACTCCCGGGAATCAAGCGTGGGCTTTACCGTTTGTCGCCACTAGGGGTCAATAGGTGGTGGCAATCGGCAAAGGCTCGGCCACAACTTGGTGCAGTCGCTGGGGAGAAGGGGTGTTGAGAGGGGGGGAAGAGTCATTTCACAATTAGAACAGGCACCGCCGAAGCCAGTAATAAACAGACTACATAGAAACCAAATTATGTCTTAACCTTTGTATGTTTTCGTGAAAGTTATTTCTTGCTGAAATGAGCATTGAAGCGGCGATCATCTCCTATTTACAGCCCTGATCCAGTGGTGGAAATTCCACATTCCTATGGCTGCGCCTATGGAGGGGGAGTGGGGAGATGGCGGGTGGGGGTGGGGCAAGTTTACCATAGGATGTCCTTTGGATTGTGATATAATGCCTACCAGCATTACCAGATGGCAGCGATGGGATCCAAACCCTGGAACGCTTGCAAAGCTGGCTTACGTGCAAAGTAGCTAAGCAGCATTAGTTTGCTAAGCTGTGCGGTGAAAAGCAAAGTGGATGTCCTGCGTGGCTGTGCAGCCTCATTCCTAAACCAGTTTTTATGGAGTTGGCAGTTTGCTTCCTGTTAAATCTGCCTTCTATGAGGGGTGCGCTATGAAAAATGTACTTATATAACCTGAAATGTGTTTAAAAATAACCTGTGTTAGCTTCATTCGAACTGTTTACAATTTTCTTTTTTATATTTTCATGGTGTTAGTTCTCTACAGATAAGCCACACACACCTTATTTCATCCACTCAAGTTAAGATTTCAACATAAGCCTGTCTTCTAGGCAATTTGTGGGTTATCAAGTTTTTCCAGGTCAGCTATTTTACTCGGTCACACCATGAGCTATAAGGTGAACTCGTAACAAACTGTATGGCATCATGTCCTGGTGCGAGAATCCTATTTGCTCATAGTTATTCCTCAATGAATATGATAATGAATCTGATAAATTAGAGGGTGTTCATAATTTTTTTGACGACCATCTAGATGGATATGATGATTTAAGAGGGTGCCGCTGTGGTGACCCTGATGCCCGTATGTTTGGAGTTGGCATATTCTCCCCGTGGTCGCATGGATTTTTCTCTGGCTCCTCCAGATGATAAGCCACTTCTTTGAGCTATCATTTGTGACCAGGTCACTTCTGAAAAAGAGCTATGCAGCTCAGTGGGCCTTACCTGGCAAAGTAAGGACTAATTATGACAATGAAATGTTTCCCATCTCCATCTGCAGACGAGCAAGTCGGTGTGCGTGCTGACCACGCAGCTGCTCATGAAGCTGATAAAGTCGAAGGAAGCTGCTGCAGTTACCGACTCTAAGGTCTGGCCCCCGATGATTGATACGGGTAAGAATACATCTCTGGTCCAATTGAACGCGTGCACTTTTATATTACGTTTACACTTTGCATTTAACGCGCGTATGTGACGTTTGCGGTCGTGTGCCATCATGTGGACTGCCGATGGTGTCTTCACGCATCGAACGTAGCCGTGTAGTCTTCTCTGGCCTCCGTTTGTCAAATCAGTCTTGGTACAAGAGCTGAGCCGTGGAAATTTCACAACTCGTCGGATTGAACTTTCTAGCCACCTGCTTCTACTTAAGTGACTTGAGGATACCCTCGCATCGGCATTGAATTCAGTTCAGCGTTCATGTTAAGTGCAGAAAAATAAAATTAATCGGCCATGATCAGTGCACTGCTGGATGAGAATGCTCTTCAAGCTGCCCGCTGTGTCTCTCAGTTCTGAGAAATAACAATCCACTACTGAACACATCACGAGCCGATTTAATTGCTTACCTTTCTGTCTGTTGTGTTCCTCCCTTTGGCTGCCACTGTCGCTCGTCTCGACCACAGGCCCTCATCCCTGTGTGTGTATATATGTGTATATATATATATGGAAGGATTTTTTAACTTATAAATAATAAAATAGATTACTGTGTTTTTTTATCCACAGTTGCAACTGTGATTTCTCACTAACGTTCACCTTTAAAAACTCACCAATGCTCTCCACTTGAATGCCAATTAAGGTGTTAACACTATGACGTGTAAAAATAGGACATGTAATTAGGGCACATAACTATTATTGCATTTTAAAATCTAATGTTTTTTTTGCGTCTTTATTTTTGCCATCTGTATCGCATTGTTCCTCATTCTGTCTCGTGCTGAACAGTTGCTTGCTCAGATAGTAGCCTCAGTGCATGATCATATAATTAGCAGAGCATATACGCATGCATTTAAAATAACCATTTCTCACACAAATGATTCTACGAATGTATCGTGAGCATAAGAATGTTTCTGAATCAATGACTTGATGCATCATTACATGCCCTAGTGATAGCAACAGCAACAATATAATTTGTACTTGTTCACCATCTAAATGCACTCATTTCTTTAGAAGTGCTTTTGTGCTAACTTTGTTGTCCTTCCTCCGCACCTCCGCTCTGCATGGTTGGCCACGTACGGTGCGAACGAAGTTCAACACACGTACACGCGTACACCCGTGTGTTGAGACGCTGTGCAAAGCGTAGTGAGAAGATAACAGCGCGTTGTGGTGGGAAGTGACCGCCGCGAGTTGGAGAAGTGCTGACCTAAACAACAGCGGAGCGAGACGTGGCCATCGACAGAGTAGGAGGAGACGCTGATTCTCCTTGTTTGGCTGCCTCTCTGTGTGTGCGTGCACCCACAGACGAATTGCCCAAGAAGAAGCTGTTTCAGATCTACAAGGCACCCACGCCGGAGATGCTGGCTTACCTCGACTTCAGCGTCTCCACCGTCGGGATGCTGGCAGGAGTCAACGTACGTCGGCGGGAGTGTAACCGTTACCACGCTGCGCTACAAACCCGGCAACTCGAGTTCAATTCCCACTCACAGTCACTCACCGGTGACGATTATCTGAACCGGTCCTGGGACTCCCCTAGGTCGACTCGGCTCCAAACGAGTACCTGGTGCGGTGTGTAAACATCGCCACTGGGAAGACAAACGGATTGCCAGGTCTGGTGCTGTCCACCCACAAACCTCGTGTTCCGAGCTGGCCTTAATAGGTGCTCGCTAACAGCACTTGCTCCAACAGCCTGTTAAAGGCTATACGGGGGATCTTTGTCTTTAGACTTGTCATTGTGTATATGTATATGCACATGCTGTAACAATAACAATGAAAGTAGGGAGCGGCGATGCGATGATTAGCACGCCGCGCTATGAACCCAGCGCGTCTGCGTTCGATTGCCCTTTGTGGTGAAGATCAGTGGCCAGTGGTATCCGAACGGGTCCTGCATCTCTCCCACAACCCTTTGTCAGACCACTGCTGGATGAAGGGCCTCCCGACATTGTGTCAGTCACGGGGGTGCTTTCAGCATACTTCACCGCAATAGTCACTGTGCATTGGTGGAGGCGTGAGGGTCCGGAACCGGTTTGGATATCACTCGCCACATGATGTTAGCTATGGGCAGGAATCATGCTGTCCACTGCTACCACCGCTCGACCCCTTATACTATATTCATATATATGTGTGTGTGTATATACACACACACGCACACAGCGTAAACATCTCCACACCTAGTTGAGCACCGGTTCAGTCGCCGTGTCTGCTGGCGACCCTAAGCTGTTGGCAGAATGTAAATATTTCTGTGGTGGTGACCAGTCTGTCAAAAGTGCAGCCACTCTTTTGTTTCTGCACCCATTACACACACACACAGTAAGATTGTAATTCAATTAAACATGTAGATGAGTGCTTGGCACTCGTGTACAAACACAAATGAAAAAACAACAACTCATTAACACTTTGTTACTATGGAAAAGTATAAACTACAAGAGGCAAATATTTCAGGCAGTGACCCTGCTTCCGAACAGGGAGGGAGGACATAATATATTGATTTAAATTTGGAGACAGTGATTGATGCCCTTTATCTAACCCTAATATTATATATATATTTACGCACAAAATATGTTTGCATTATAAGGCAGTGTCACTGACAAAGGTCATGGTGTCATTTGATTTGTGCTCGCACAATCATAAGGCGTCCTTCGGTCCAGTCATCGGCTCCGCGGTGAATTAAAACGAGGTCAATCCTGGCCTCTTAGGCCATTGCGGATACACCGCCGCAATGTGTGTGTAAGAGCGGAATGCTATAGCACCGCTCACACCTCATCGCCCCCACCCCCCATAATCCTCCCCCCCCGCCCCATCGTCGCAGATGTCGCACGCGGCAGCCAGCTCGCTGTGCCGCTCAATCAAGATCCAGTGCGAGCTGTACCCGTCCCGTCAGATCGCCCTCTGCCTCGACCCCCATTGCGGCCTGGGGTTCGTGCTGTGGTGCCTCTCCGGGTAAGGGTCGCACTCGTCGGTCGGACGTTCGCGGCCGTCCCTGGAACCTCCTTCCAAAGGTTGTTTCGGCCTCAAATGAGTTCCTGGTGTGGTCTGTAAATATCAGCGCCGGGGAGGCAAGGCAGTCAGGAATCTCCATTTGCTGGGTTTTGTAGCAGGGTGCGTCAATCAGCAGGTGCTGATGTCGAATACGCTGCACGGAAGGTGCTCAATTTAAGGCTGAGACGAAAGCTGTAAGCCGGTGCGGCTATGAGCGGGTGGTGATTTGGTTAAGCACCACCACCCGGGCCAAATTTTTCTCCCCACTGCCAATGTTTACACACTGCACCCAGATACTCATTCGAGGCTGAAATCGACCTAGGAGAGGATCGCAGACCAGTTCAGATGTCACTGGCCACTGATGATATCCACGGCCGGGAGTCGAGCTCCGGTTTCACACCTATACATTTTTGTGACCCAAGCCACATCACCTGAGAGATGCCCCCCGGGGCCTCTTTGCTCCTGCGACTGTGACCCCAAATGCAGTCGCGGGTTTGTGTTGTGTGGACTCGGTCTCAAAGGAGCGAAACAAATGAATGATTTTTTTTGTAGGACAGTCCCCAGTCTCTTACCTGATCCAGAGTAAAGATTGTACCACGCAATTCGCCAGAGTAAGCCATTGTGTGCTGGACAAATTTGTCTGGAGAAACTGGCCCCCAATTCCGCAGGAATTCCCAGTAGGGAGCGTGTGCAGCTTACATGAGTGTGAGCGTGCCTGCTGAGAAAACGCACTGGGAAAAAACGAGGTTATATAATTTAATGAAAAAATGTTCGTAACAATTAATTTTTAATCAGTTCTGTTTTCAACAAACAATGCACTTCACAGAGGTCCCGAGCGTACTTTGCACTCTCTGGGCTGCGGTTGTTTATCACGTTTGAACGCGAAGCTTTCCTCTGTTAATTAATTAATTTAAATACACTTATTTATCAGCAGCGCGTGCCTCTTCAGTCATACTTTCTCTTGATTAGGTGATGCTTATTTCCAGTTAATCAGCAGAGAGCCAACACCTTCTATGAAGAAGTACGTTCTCAATTAAATGGACAATGTTTAGTGTTAATGAACTGCCAACGTCATTAAATTGTGTTTTTGCGGTATTCCCTATGCAGCGTGTTTTATATGCCTGTGTGTTTGTCTTTGTTCATACTGCATTGTTTTTGTGGGGAGCGATAGTGTCGTGGTTATCTTGTTGTGCTACGAACCTTGCTTACCCGCGTTCGATTCCGCTCAAGGCCAACAGCAGTGACGATTGCTTGAGCCGTTGCTAGGCCTCATCTGAGTCGACTCGAACTTAAATGAGTACCTGGTGTGGTGGGTAAATATCAGCACTGGGGAGACAAAGGAGGCCGGGCGTGGTGCTGGCCACCCACCTCTTCGTGTGCCGTGCCGGCCTAAATAGGTGCTCGCTAACGGCACTTGCCCCCAGCAGTCTGTTAAAGGCTATACGGGGGATCTTTGTCTTTATGCTATGCTTGTCATTGTATAGATCTATATGCACATGCTGTAATAATAACAATACAAGTGGGGAGCGGCGATGCGATGATTAGCACGCTGCGCTGTGAACCCAGCAGACCTGAGTTCGATTGCCATTCGTGGCTAATATCAGTGGCGAGTGGTATCCGAACGGGTCCTGCATCTCTCCAACAACCCTTTGTTAAACTACTGCTAGATGAAGGGCCCCCCTGACGTCATGCCAGTCACGGGGGGTGCTTTCAGTGAGTATCTGGTATGGTGTGTGTTAACATCAGCACTGGGGAGACTAAGATTTCATCGGTGCTTGCTAACAGCACTTGTCCCAACTGTCTGTTAAGGCTTTTCTGGGGGAGAAGGCCTTTGTTTTACAGTATTTATGCATACATTGTACATGTTGCCCATACAGCTTCCATCTATGATGAAATCATTTTAATTAACCTTATTGAAATTATGGAAATGTATTCCTTATGTACTTAAGTTTTGTTTTACAATAGCTTACGCTCTCTCAAGACATTGGCAAATACCTGAGCCGCCCCCAGATCTCGATACAATATACATCACCAACACCCTGGATTGTTGTATCCAGGGAGCGTGAGAGATGGCAATGGCTTGGGGTGGTGAAATGTTGACTACCTTGCCTGGTATACAGGAGGTCGTGGGTTCGATCGCGGCCCTCACACCTGTATATTTGAAGTTGGCATGCTCTCCTCGCGATCGCGTGGATTTTTCTCCGAGTCCTCTGCTTTTTACCTCCTTATTTCGAAACATGCGTTTAGAGTATTTGCCTGCTATAAATTTACACGTGGTGAGCCACTTTGTTGAGCTATCATTTGCGGCAAGGTTGCGCCCGTTTAGTTTGAGCATCGATGCCTATTATGGAGCAGTCTCAGCGGCGGCAGCGGTGGCATTTTTACGTACTGTGAGCACGGCTGGAGGGGCTGGTGGTGTATTTGCAAGTTGGCAGCCAGGATTCCCTGGGAGGTCGCCCTCTGAAAGATTACACGACACGTGTGAGCTGCAGGTTCAGTGCAAGATGCAATCTGTGCCGACAGGCGGGAGGTGAGCGTATTGGCCTTCGTAGTGCGAGTCCTGGCTACCCTTTTCCTTTGTTAGAGTGATTAATTGAAGTGTGCGAAATTAATTGTACTGGGAGCTCTTTTGTGTTCCTGCACGAGAGTGCATTTAAGGTTTAGTTTACAAAAAAGCGATTCGGTACATCTTAATTAGGCATTTTTTGTATTATTATATTTGAACATCCATATTACAATGCGCCCGTGTGTTCGTGACATTGCTGCTCCATTTAAAAAAATAAAGTCGGGTAAAACTGTTTAACACACAGGCTGGTAAAACTATCAACCTTAGCAGAATTTTACAATGCCTGTCTTGGTATTAAACGGTCTAATTTACACTTTTATGGGAAATCTCGATTAGTCTCGCGGGTTCACGAGAGCTCTTTTCCCAGTGAAGTTACGAATACATCTCCTGCTGTCCGCCGATTCAAACGTAGAGCGGTCAACAAAAAGCGCTGCTGTTGATGAGAACAAGCAACGAGCTCGCATGTAAATGCACTTTCACATCGCACCCGCATGAAGGAAGTTGCGGGAGATTTGAAGTTGTTTGCGCTGCGGCCCTAATGCACTGTTCTCCTGACAACCCTGCATACATTCGCGTGGGACACCGAGTAGTTTGATGGCAGTCGTTTGCCGTACGCTTCTATTAATCCACGCTGACAATAGGCGAGGTAAGCGGGGGACTCTGAATGGGCGAGCTGATGCATTGCCCCTGTCATGTCTGGACAGATTGCATCTTCACTTGACTACTCTCCTTTGTTGTATTTCATTTGCCCCTCCCTCCCCCTCTTCTGTCCTCTATCACAGAAAGTCTCCAAACAGATCAACTTCATAGAATAATCTGCATCCAGCACACCTTTAATGACGGGCCTTCGAATCGTAGTCTTTATTTCGTCCTTGACTCCAATTGTCATTCCGATTTGTGTGTTATCGGCATCATACCATGAGATGAATAATCTATTTGGAAATGTCGCAGAAGCAGTGCTTGTTGGAAAATGGTCTGCAGAAGGAGATGGTAGAACATCTTCTGTATATCTTCACATCACCTGTTCACAACACGGGGTGGGGGGGGGAGGGGAAGCACTCTCCCAAATGCCCCCTGCCACAGACAGAAATATTTGTCACGTGGCAATCAAACAGACATTCAATCAGCTGAGCTGGAATTTTAACAAGGTCAAGTGAAACACCATATTTAATGTGATAGTCTTTGTGCCGTCAGGGCGACCGGCGTGAAATCCATCATTTCGCTTCACTTGAACACCCCGTTTAAACACGAGCAGCAGCTCCGAAATCGGCATCACGGCCGTGTCGACTCGGCGCTCTGACGTCTTGACTCACCCAATCATACGAATCGCCGTCTTTAAGCGCGGCAATTTCTGTTACGCTGCATGCAGATTATTGACCGAGGCCCCCTTTAGACTTTAATGTTCTCGAGTGCATGGACAGCTGCCACATATCCATGTTCATGCGCACTTATTTCATATCTATGAACAAATGCATTTGTGGAAAAGCGTGGGCTATCTGATTGGGAACTGCAGTTGTAAACGCAGTGGGTTTGTTGGGGTCACACCCTGGTGATGCTTGAGTGGCTCGAGCATTGCCGCTGTCGCTGGTTATTAAGATGCGCTTCGTGGAGTCGACGGAATTAAGATGCTGGATGTGCAGTTTATGTACGAACGTACGTCAAGCTTTATTTCGCATCGTAAGTAGCCAACCGTGCTAATCGGAGGTGAGATGTTGTGTTGGTGTCAGGGAAGAGGTAAGAGCAAATTAATAAACACGTGTTAATCAAATGTAAAACTAATTATAACAACCTTGCAAAGTAAATTGCGAATGTCAACCCCTACGTGGTTTATTAGCGAACATCGGTGCGTTTTTTCATAACAAATGTACTTTTTGGTTTATTTTTAAGTATATCATCCATGCAGCCCGTAGGAAAAAACTAAACATTTTATTTCAAAGCCTCTACGCGTCTCCCGCCGGTCTGAGCACACTGATTACATCGCTTAACACCATCCTCCCCACGCGAGATACAAATCTACCACTCGAAATGGATCAACCTTTGTATTCAAAGCGCAATTTAATTTGGCGTTCACCGACGGTTGTATTAACGAGCAAGCGAATGAGATTTCACGGAACGTGTCCCCCCCCCCCCACTGTGCCGTGCATTCAGGGTGTACGCCGGGCACCAGTCGATGCTCATACCCCCCGCGGAGTTGGAAGCGAACCCCGCCGTGTGGCTGTCGGCCGTGAGCCAGTACAAGATCCGAGACACGTTCTGCTCCTACTCGGTCATGGAGCACTGCACGCGCATGCTTAGCACGCAGACCGACTCGCTTAAGGTGATGCGCCGCCGCACACGGACGACGGATGCCATCTTTTCAATTCGGCCACGTGGTCTTATTGTATTCAAACCGGGATGAAAGAGCCCATTGAGATTCTGTTGTGCATGTTTGTTTTTTTCTAAGTGGAATCCAAGTGACTCGTTATGTGTGGCTGGTGATATATGTCTGGATACGAATGAACGGTGTCCGTTTCTGCCTCGGCGACGGCATAAGTTGTAATCTAGATTTGAAGTTTTCGTGACTGCAGGTGTAAGTTGTGTTTAAGGTGACATGAAAACAGGTGAACAGGTGGCCATCGCGAGTAGGCTACCACGTCCCACCCAAGTCGGCGCTACGTGCATTGTGGAGGTTATTTAAACACCCTTTAAACCGTCCCTCTCAGCTTGCATTGGTGAAGGCAGGGAGCATAGACGCACAGAGAACTCTACGGCTTTTGATCCTTTCGGGCAATGCCTTCTGCTTCTCCCCACGTGTTCCCACAGCCTGTAACAACCAGACGGTGCGAGGTGAACGGCTTTGCTAAGCTCCGCGTAGCTTCCCAAGATCTGACGAAATGGAATCTGTTTTGGGCGATTTGGTGAAAAGTACAGAATCCATGGCGAGCACCTTCTTATAGACGTGAACTTGAATTGTGGACATTGAAGGCCCGGTGGAATTATTTGCAGGGAGTGGTCATTGTGCGCGCAGGTCTTATGGCCTAAATACTAATTAAAAAATAATGGGAAGACTATGATATATACTCAATAGCCTTTCACACGGTTAAATAAGAGACTTTGACAAATCAAATATAAGGTTATGGATTTAAAAATTCAATGCTAGGAGGGGCGTCGGGTTATTATTGAACTGTGCTATTCGAGCTGTTGATGTTGCCAGATGGGCCTCTTGAGAATAACCCCCTTCAAGGGAACTATTTAAAACAAAATGTAATCGAATTAGCATATGGCATCTCGCAACCATCACGTTAATTATAGCATTTGTTGCAGTTGTTTTATATCAATGACTCGACCGACAACAACAATAGTTCTTTCTATAATTGCTTTACAGATTTCAACCTAAGCTCTGGGACAAGTCGCGTGAAAAAAAAACGATTTAATGGTGTGAACTATCCTAAAATATACTAATTAAAACAATGACAGTTTAGTTCTAGTTAGAATGTTGATTGTTCGAGAAAAGCTTAGTAATAATTAAATAATGTTCGGTTTCATATTCTTAGGTTTTTTCAGTAAAGTCATGTAGGTAAAACATTAAAATTAATAAAAGTAAAATAAAATAAAAATCACAGCCACGACTGTCGTGGCTGTGACGGTTCCACCTGAAGACGGAAGCTTGTGTTGCCTCCGAAACGTCGTGATTTTTATTTTATTTTACTTTTATTAATTTTAATGTTTTACCTACGTGACTTTACCGAAAAAACCTAAGAATATGAATCCTTGCAGTCACGAAAGCTTCAAATCTAGAATTAATGTTCGGTTTCACCACCAAACAATAGCATTCAGGTAACAATTTTTTTATAATGTCTCTTAATATTACAATACTCAAACTGAAGGACATTGCTTTAGTCGTTTTGGTTGTGTTCTTATAGTTTAATGGGTTTTATTTATTTATTGATGAACATTTTGACTCTGCTGCTATTATGTTGTTTTATTACATGTTTACTGTACCACTTCAGGACCCTGGTCTTAGAAAAATGCACTTTTAATTTCTAAATGTACATTTTAGTACAGCCGTTTTGTCAATCCACTCCTGGATGAGGACTCTCCGCTAGGTCCTTGGAGTTACTTTACCATACTTCCCCATGCTCGTCTTTGTGAGTTGTAAGCGGGTAATATAGATGTGGTGGCATAGAAGTACAGCACAAGGATCGATTTTGCTGCACTGCCCTCTGTTGCCCCACCTTGCATGTCCGACGACGACCTGTTTGTGCACACTTGATCACCCATCCAAGCATTATGCAGGGCTCAACCCACCGTAGCATCCATGCTCTAATGTGTTTTTAGTCCTCACTTGGTTATCGGTAAAGTTGCCCTTACTAACACGGTGGGCCTGTTCTTGTTAACGCTGTGTGTGTGTTGGCGCGGTGTGGTATGGCGTGGCGTGTGGTTCTCTTTGTACGTGGTGTTGTATGGCACGGTGTGGTGTGTGGTGTTCTATGTGTGGTGTGATGCGTTGCCGTGGTGCGGCTCGGCGTGCGGTGGTGCTTGCGGTGTTGCAGGCCCGCGGGGTGAACCTGTCGGGCGTGCGCACGTGTGTGGTCGTGGCGGAGGAGCGGCCCCGCATCGCACTCGCCACCTCCTTCTCCAAGCTCTTCAAGGACCTGGGGCTCTCCCTCCGAGCCGTGGGGGCCACCTTCGGCTGCCGGGTCAACCTTGCCATCTGCCTGCAGGTGAGCGGCGGCGGCGTCGGCGACGTCCTTTTCGTCGTCATCATAATTATCGACAGCTGTGATCTATCTGCCGGTTGAAGGTCTCCCATCTCTCACGGTCTCGCAATGCAGCGGTCCACCGAGCATCTGCAATCGCGCGTATTTCATCACTCCGTTTCTGCATTGGATGCCCTCTTGGGCATGTTCTCTCCTTTGAATGTCACTCTGTTATTCGTCTCGACCACCAGGGTCATCCCTTCTCGACGTGTCCTGCACAAGCCCACTTTTAAAAATTCCTGGCATAGCCATTGGACCCCTAATAATCGACATGCATCTTGCGAGGAGGCACTGGTTTAGAGCATTCAACCCAAAATTTTAATGCCTGCAAGTTCATTTGCTGGTCGAGGTTCAATTCTGCATGTAATCCTGAATAAGGCCTTATGAGTGAGTATCACTTTCTGGAAAGACATGAGTTGCTCATGCTATGCACAGACTGGCCAATCACTGTGAGAATGTGGAATTTCTGCCTCTGGTTCATCCATCAACGGAGATGATTGTTGTGCCATTGAGGAGAGAGAGACTTGGTAGTTTAAAAACTCAATCTTTACAGAAGAGAGCCTCAATGAGTCTTGGGAATCTTCGAAAATGGTCCTATTTGTAATGTTTGATCGTTGTTCATGATTGCAGAGCAGCCAGGAAAACTGAAAAAAACTCGTACATATGAGAGGCGCTAGCACTTTCAATTATGTAGAGTGCATATTAGCAGCCTACTTGCTGTACTGTCACCTCAAAGTAGTCATGCAAGTTTAGTGTCTCCTGTTTATTGACAATGATTTGTACGATGTATGTTGAACTTCTTTTGCACCGTACGTAGCTAACCGTGCTAATCGGAGGTGCGGGGCAGGACAGCAAACGAACCTCAAAACAGTTGTAAAGAAATGAGTTTTCAGTCTAAACAAAGAATAGTTTTCAATCTTCAATCTGATCCACCAACCCCACATCTGATGGGCCAGGTTGCAGGCAAGCGACGTCGTACCCAGCACAGTCGGCAACTCCCCCGAGTCATTAAGCCATTAAAAAAAAATAATTCAAAGTAATTATTCTAAAATAAAAATCTCGTGGTACGGAAGCAACTGGGTGGCCAAGGTGCACCGTTCGCCTCGTGAGGTATGCTGTGTTGCTGTTGCACAACTTATATATAGTAGCATATTTTTCAGCTGAACACCAGTACAATTGAGAGAGCGATCGAATTTATATTCTGAGGTGCATTTCTGAGTAAGAAAGTGGAAGCAGGTGGTGGCTATGGGTGCTTAAGCCTGAAAACAAGGCAATACGTTCGAGGCCATAACGCTGTTTCTCACATTAACCAAAAGAGTGAAAAGGAATAAGCATCGCACTTCCCCGGGCCTCGGAAGAGTTTCTCTCGCTGGGAGTTTAATGGCCTCCGCTCAGTCGCCAAAACCAATTATAATAAGTAAGTAAATATAAATCAATGGGCCAAAGGTAAAGAGCACAGGCAATTTTCGCTGCTGCCATTCCTCAGCATGACGTACAACCTCTGGATTGAGGAAAACTCTGCCTTCTCTGCCGAAGTCCAGTCAATTAGGCAAGCCGGGCCCTCCTAGCTCACACTCCATTCACTTCGGCTCTGGTGTGCACCTTAAGCCAAGACGGTGGGAACTTGGGGTAGATGGACTTGTGAACTGTCAGGTGCAAGCATCTGTGCACTCCTGACGCCTCTAAACCAGGGATGGGACACCGATGGCCCTCGAATTATTTTCACGTAGCCCGTGGCCACATGTGGCCTCCCATTTTAAAACCGTATTTATCAGCCGTGCCAGTCGGGTTCTAGAGGGAAATACCTTTGACCTGGCACCGTTGTTTTTTATTATTATTATTATTATAATTTTAGCACACTCAGTCTCTTCTGTCACTGCAAAAGACTCTTGCAGTGACAGAATTGGCCAGGTTGTGCGCGTGTCAATGTGTGCTTTGCCCACGGTGTGTAAACATTGCCACTGGGGAGACAAAGGCGGTCGGGCGTGGTGCTGGCCACCCACCCCCTCGTGTACCGTTCCGGCCTTAATAGGTGCTCGCTAACAGCACTTGCCCCTACAGTCTGTTAAGGCTATACGGGGGATCTTTGTATCTTTGTTGGCCCACTAAAGGCATTTGAAAGCTCGATTCGACCCTCAATAAGGAAAGAGTCATCCAACCCCCCCCCCCCCCTGGTCTCAACCAATTTAGGTGGTGAAATCACTTGGCTTCATATGGCAGAACATTAATGTATTTGTTGAGAATACCCGATGTGATTACAACCTCGCAGCAGCAGGTGTTCAGTACCATTTAAGACGGCGCCATATATATATATTTTTTATGTCGGTGAGTTTCTCTCAAGGTTTTTTAAATGCCTGCCAAATCCCATTTGTGAGTGATTGGTTGAAGGGCTTGTTCTTATGGATGCTCATCTCTACCTCTTGTTAAACGCTTTTGGTTAGAGTGCTTTAAAATGTTCTTTTGTTGCTCAAAGAGGAGTTGCAGCAGTTCAGCACTTGAATTTATGCACCAGTTCAATACTGCTGATGTCTTTTTTAACACTTGGTTGGCACGGAAGGACGCATTTCTTTAGAGCAGGTGTTTAGTTTAACCTTGACTCGTGCGTGCATTTTTCTGCTTCAAAGAGCTTCGCTGAGTGTTTCTAATGCCCATCATGTCTAAGATACCAGCTCTGAATAATGATCACGTAAAAATAGCCCTTTGTTGTGTCCCCTTCATTAAACGAAACGGTTTTGTAAGTTGTCAAAGAGAAAGGAACTTTTAAAACATACTATCCTGATGATTTCCTTTGCATTGCCATTAATAGACTTTGCTGTCTTATAAATATTGGCCTGGGTAAAGCAAAGGCCTTAACTTTGGGACTAATTGCATTCGGCAGCATTTTTACCACCAAATTGCTGAATATTTTGGTGAAATCGGTGAATGTGTCCAATTGCAGCCATTATGATCATTAATCTGAGTAAAAGCCACTTGCCTAATGACAGAATTTTCTCAAAATAGATGTTTTAAAAATATAATGTGATGAACATCTTGCGACAGGGTGTAAAGTAAACATTGCAGAGTGCCTTTGATCTGGCTGGTAAACACAGACGTGCCACTTAAAATAGCAGACCTTCACTAAAATCTCACGGTCTTGTGTCTTGTTGTAGTCTTCTACAAGCCCCGGCGGTGGTGTGTTGTAGGCAACAAAGCCATATTCTGTTTTATTGTTTACCGGCTCTTTAATGCACAGTTCCAAAGCAGACCTCTGCAAATTGTAAAGATGACTGATTGAGTCAATATCCAATAACATGTGTAATGGAAATTGCTTCCCGCCCCTGCCTCCTGACTTTAACAACGGAACGGGTCAATAATTTATTTTTTCTTTATTTCAGGGCACATCTGGTCCTGACCCAACCACGGTCTACGTCGATATGAGAGCTTTAAGAAATGACAGGTATGGCTGCAGCGCTCTATTGCGTTAATCTATTACAACTGCACAAATAAATACCCTCTGGGAGATTATCCGTGACTAGGAATGAATTATTAAGCAGTCTCGCCAAAGTCCAATTTTAGTGTCTTGCGAGGTTCAACTTTTTTTTAAGTGACATGTAGATTTAGAGCCCCTTTCTTGATGGCAGCCGGCACTGTTAAGCCCCTTTGATAAAAAAATGAAAAAAATTGGACCCAAAACACAGCTAGGGAGTTTCTAGACTGTGCATCTCCATTCTGGCCAAGTAAATCAAATGAGAGTGCTTTCGGAAAGCCTGCTTTTGTGTATCTGCCCAAAACTCTAAATCAGGGCTGTCTGGCCATTACTACCTAATTCAGTAATCTCCGCTGGCAGTACGTCAGAGGACAGACTGGTGCTTGTTTTGATTTCTGGCACTGCTTTTTTATTAATAGCGTGCCGATTTACTTTCAGGGTGCGTCTGGTGGAAAAAGGTTCGCCACACAGCTTGCCCCTAATGGAGTCTGGAAAGGTGGGATCATGCTTACCCATTATGCATGCCGTCCATAGTAAGGCCACGCTGTCACATATCTAAAACATAGCACAGGTAACTTTAATGTGCAGTTATATTTATCTTATCTCGCTTCCAAAAAAGGCACTTTAGAATTTACATTGGTTTCATGTGGTCTTATTTTCTGCTCGTTTCAGGTGTATTAAAGCAGTGGTTTGGTAAAAAAAATGTGTACATAAAATTTTGATTTAAAGCTTTCGTGACTGCATGGATTCATATTCTTGGTTCTTTCAGTAAAGTCACGTAGAAGGGAAATAATAAAATAAAACATATTAAACAATAAAAATTCTCACGACGTTTCGACTGCAACACAAGCAATCATCATCAGGTGTGAAATCCACAGCAATAATTTTTTTTTTCAAATTTTCTTGCTGTGGATTTCACACCTGATGATAATTGCTTGTGTTGCAGTCGAAACGTCGTGAGAATTTTAAATTTTTATATATATTTATTTTATTTTATTTTTATGTTATTTTATTATTTCCCTTCTACGTGACTTTACCGAAAGAACCAAGAAAAATGTGTACATTGTTAAAATGGAAAAGGAAATAACCGCTTTATTTTTTAATGTCCCGTGTAATGCACAAACACATTTTTTCATGGTTGTAAATGGTTCTAATAATAACTGGAGGTCACGGTTTAAGTAATATTCGCAATTTCCGCGTTACGTATTAATGCAGTTATTAGTCCAAATGACTGGCAGCATTGATTCAGCCAGGACTAGTTAGGGAGGTCACGTCACTCGCGGCCGATAATGTTAATTAACTGAATGATAATGTTCATCGTCGTTTTCACCTTAATTGTATTGGACAGAACCTGCCTTGAGCCCCTCGATCTGTGCCGAGCCAGCACTAAATGTGGAACTGGGCGGGGGGAGATGGGGGTGGTGGGGGGGGGGTGTGTCCTTTGTGGACCGTGGAAGGTTTTTGCCTAAGAGGGTGATTTTTATTTATATTTTTGCGCAGATCTTACCTGGAGTACGCGTGATGATCGTGAACCCAGAATCCCTTGGGCCACTGGGAGATTCGGATCTGGGAGAGGTAAGACTTCATCTTCTTGGTTCTTTCGGTCAAGTCACGTAGAAGGGAAGTAATAAAATAATCAAAATAAAACATAATCAAATCATTCTCACGACGTTTCGGCCACAACGCAAGCAGCCGTCCTCAGGTGAAGACCAGGTCTGTCGAGGCGACAGCTTCTGAATGAAACAGCACCATGCTTGGAGCATATATTTAAGCTGGGTTGGAAAGGGGGGGGGGAAAGGTAAGACTTCATTTGAAATGTTTTTTTTTTCATTTTTACGACAAGGCCTGACAATCTCAAGACGTTTGCGGGAGAGTCCTGCATTGGGATGCTTGGTCAAATCCCATTAGTTAGTGTTTTGGCATGTGTGAGGTAAACTGGATTACCCGGAGAAAACCCATATACACAAGGGGGGGGGGGGGGGGGGGGTGAGACTCAAAGCTCTGCACAGATACGTTCAAGAAAACATTCCTGTACCGCTATCTCTCTCGCCACCTTGCCGGCCAAGCCTACAAGACATCGTAATCCCAGGCAGTCTTCCATATAAATACTAAACCAGCCTCAACCCTGCATAATTTATCATTGTTTCTGCCTCCGCGTACAAGCAGTCGCTAAAATAACAATAAGTTGTTCCTTTTTTAATGCGGGTATAAATAGCTTAAACAAGAGCATTCGGCTACATCTGAGCACCATCCTTTCCTCCCTGTGGAAAGAAACTCGTGTTTTTTTATATCATCGGAAAATTCTATTTCTTTTTTTTTAGTTTGATGTCGCTATTGTGCTGTTCTTGTTGTTAACGTTTCTGTGAATATGGTAAGTACGTCTCTCATACATGCTGCCGTGCGTGGTATTGAATTGTCCACATTGCAATTGGACCGTTTGGCAGTCGCCCAAGACTTTTGCGGTCCAGTTCATATCTCGCTTGTCCGAGTCAATCAGCTATCCCACAGTACGTGTGACAGGGGGCGCTATCCAGCTATGAGGCCAACAGCCTCGATTGATCTCGACAATTTGCGCACCAGCAGACCCGAGTACGCAATGTCATTTCAATTTACAGAGCGTAGGAAAATATGGAATCTTGCGAAAATACAAATTTGCGCAATGGAGAGATAGGAGACTGCTGCTCATAGATGGGAGAGGGTGATAAAGTAAAATATGGTTGAATGCATTTAAAGAGCGGTAAGAAAATCTTAGGCAGAGAACAAAAGGAAAATCTTCAGCCTGGATTTGGACAGATTTAGATATGGCTGGGTTTGATGGATTTTCAGACGGATGAGAGGATGAGGAGTTGGAATAACAGATCCATGGGGGAATCTGCGCAGAAGGGGGGAGTAACCTTCCATTGAGCGGAGGTTGAGTGGGGGGTTTCTACAGAAGGCGGCCTGGGTTACTGGAGTGCAGAGCACATGAAGGGGAGTAGACGGAGATGAGAAACAAGCAGCGTGTCCAAAGACAATCTTAAAGATAGTAAGGACGATTTTGCAGTAAATTAAAATACACACACGATCAGGACTCTCCACACCCCCGATATACATACATACAGACTCTTCACATGCCCCCGTACCTCCGAGTAGCACGTTTGGCTTCATACAGTGCGAAATAAGTTCAACATACATCCACACACGTGTTTGCACCATTGCCGTAAACCACAAGTCGTATCTCACTGCTGTACACGCAAACCCTTATGAGTGACCCACGGTTCACCGAGTTCGTTAGTGTCATGCGTTTTGCCCCGTCGACCCTCGCCTGCTTTTGCTCCACTCTTGCCGACAGATATGGGTTCAGAGCCCGCACGGGGCGAGCGGGTACCACTCATTCGTGGGCGACGCCTCGCTCATCGCGGGTCACTTCGACGGGCGGCTCAGGGTGGGCGACACCCATGCCGTGTGGGCCCGCACCGGCTACCTGGGCTTCTTGCGACGCACGGACCTCACCGACGCAAACGGAGGTTCGTTCCCCTGACGCCTGGGGTCGCTTGCTCCCGCGTCGTTTTGTCGAATTTCGCACAGCAATTTTTTTTTTTACTTCCAATGTGTTTTCTTCCCTGGGCAATAAGGAATTGTTTTCAAAAGCTATTACCATAGCGCAGCGTAACAATTTCAAAATTGCCGTTATTTTCGGCGTAAATTAAACAACATGCTATTCGATCTCACACACGAAAAGCAAACCAGTGCCCAACATAGCACAAGGGCATTTAAAGCCCTCCAGAATTTCAGTCAACCAAGAATAAATTTAACCCATGCAACTACAACACCAAATTCACAAATATCCTGGGGAGTATGGGAATTGTAATTGGGGAACTTTTTTTTTTCCCTGGGAGAAAAAGACTGACACAGGTTCATCATTGCTGAATAAATTATGAGGCCTCGCAAGGTCTCCGTTCAATAACGATCGCAGCAGGGACTAAGTGTGTGGTTTTCTTTTTTTTTTACCAAACCGCTTAGAATGCGATCGTCGTTCTTAGTAATGAACGAATTAATGAATAAATTAATGCCCCCTTCCCCGTGTAAAAAGTCCACGTTCCCGCTCGCACATTCCCTGTGTAAGGGGGGCAGTGAGCCCATTTCCCCCCTCCTTTGCCCCAACCCAATGAACACTGTGTTTGGGCTTCTGCTCTACTGAATTTCTGTGCCGCCATTCCCTCGTTACTGCTCGCATTTCTGTGCCGGGCTCCTGTCAAAAAAAAAAACCCCCCGCAATGAATGAGAAGAGAACGAGTGGCCGAGGTCGATGGCAGTGATGTACGTACTTAAGTATGTATGTACGTCAAACTTCTTTCGCACCACTACGTACGTAGCCAACCGTGCTAATCGGAGGTGCGGAGAAAGCAAACTGAACACAAAGAACTGCTTTTAATGAATTGCTTTTTGTCTGGTTGGGTTTTCGTCGACCGACGTTTTTGCGAAACTGCCTTTCAGAGCGTCACGACGCGCTGTACGTGGTGGGCTCGCTGGAGGAGGCCATGGAGCTACGCGGAATGCGCTACCACCCCGTGGACATTGAGGCCTCCGTGCTGCGAGCCCACAAGAGCATCACCGAGTGGTGAGGCACGCCACGGCTATCGCGACTTCCCTCCCCCTGTGATCGCTCGCACCCAATGGCCATGGCTGACCGGGAGCAATTTTCTGGCATTTGTTGCCAGAAGTCACCGCTGGTTATAATTGCCGCGCTGTTTTATGTTACGAGCAATTGGTTGCAAAAATGTGGACGAATTTCTATGGCCACTCCCCCTATTGAGCAACTTGGATGACAACGGCCATATCAGATTACAGATATAGGTCACATGACTTCCCAAGGTTGTGTGCCCTGTAAAACCAATTATTCTTAATAATATCACGATGTTCAAAAGTCTCTTTTCATTGCATAGATGGAACTATGCAATTGTCATACCATTTTACTTTTGTGTATAATGGCTCTAACTCTAAGATGCAGCCCTGGGTCCAAAATATAATATCTTTGGTATATAATTTACAGGCTCTTGCTTGACCTTATACAAGACATTTAACATTTATTCACATAAAGGGATCAATAAGGGATCTTTTCTTAGCAAATATATCATATTGCTTGTGCAGATCTTCAGAACAGTGTAGAGTATTTCAAGACTGCATCGATATTTCGGAGAGCGAGTGCTGTTTCACGCACAACCTGCGGATATTTTCTGCTTAGATGCCGAGGTACAGTGATTCTCCACTCTGGCAGACTGGGGTTCGACTCCTGGTGTTGCACATTAGTGGCAAGTGTGCTGCAAATCGTCCCTGGGTCCCCCATCTATAATTGGCTCAGCCATAAAACACATTCCTGCGGAGGGAGCTGGTAGGAACGTTGAGTTGCTCGGTCAATGGCCAGGGTCAACGGCGGCGTGGTGTATTCCGCAAATATGCCCGACTGTGAGGGCGGGCACAAGCCGGCGTGAGTAGGTTAAACGTTGAGTTTTATAAGGGCACCACGGGGTGACCAGCCCCTCCCCACCCTCCCCACCCAGCCCCTCCCCACCCTCCCCACCCAGCCCAGCCCCTCCTACCAGTATGAATATGTGGCACAGTGTGTAGCTGTTAACGTCACTAATGGTGGATCTCAGGTGTGGTGATAGCCACACCTCCACCACTCCCGTGTTCCCCCTTCCTGTGCAGTGCTGCCTGTAATGAATGGGTGCTTGCCAACGACAATGGGGCTCCTTCTTCAGTCCGTAAACTTGATTCACGTGCACACAAAACGTCTTGGACGGTTGCAGTTACTTGCAGTGGTGTTTGTAGGCGCTTGGGAGACACTTTAATGGCAAATATTAAACTCACTGCTTTTGCATCTCACTTAATTTAGCGCGGGAGAAAAGAGCTAAAAGTTACATGCACACGAAAAACAATGCCAAAAGTTCAACTGCATCCCATTTCATTACGCTGACCTTCAGAAAAGCAAATTGCCTGTGAAAACTGAGGAATAAAAACTAATTAATGACTGGCTGAGCATTTTAAAGAATATGTATGAAAAGGACTATTTTAAATTATAACTACACTTGCATTGGCACAAAGCTCCAGGTTACAAGCAAAGCTGAGCTCATCCCCATACTGGTACTGTTTGATAACAAAGGTCTTAAGGGTTTTAAAAGGCCCTATTTAATTAAAAACGTATTGCTGCTGAAACCCAAAAATTTGCGTCATTAATAAAACACATTACGCAAGCACTATAACGCTGTACATCGGCCAAGCCAATCAACATTGTACCTTGTGCGTAGATTCGCTCTGCTTCATTAATTAATAAAAAAAAAATTTGTTCCATGGATGAGCGATTTCAAGGATGTTAAGTGCGCACTCACCCATGCCATTCAAAAGACAATGACAAAAATCCCCCGTGTATTCTTTAACAGACTGTTGGGGCAAGTGCTGTTAGCGAGTAGCACCTATGAAGGCCGGAACGGCACACAAGGGGATGGGTGGAAAGCACCACACCCGGCTGAATTTGTCTACCTCGTGGCAATTATTACAAATCGCACAAGGTACTCATTTTAGGCTGAGTCGACCTAGGAGAGGCCCAGGACTGGTTCAGATAATTCTCACTGTTGTTGGCCATGAGCAAGAATTGAACTTGGCAATTCGGGTTTGTAGCGCAGTGCGTTAGCCGGTATACTACCGCTCCCCATCCACTTACACACTCGCACACCTCGTACGCACCTGCCTTCACGTCCATCTGCACATCCACCCACGCACCTATGCACTCAACCACTTACATACCCACGTATTTATCCGTGAACCCACCGACCTACTCGTGTCGCTATCAAAGCACCTACCCACCTATAAAACTGCACGCTTGCCCGGCGATGTTTGCACAAACTCGCCCACCTACTCACCCACACAACTATCCACCCACTCCTCCTCTTGGTTCTTTCGGTAAAGTCACGTAGAAGGGAGGTAATAAAATAATAATAATAAAACATAATAAAATATTATAAATAATAGAAATAAAACATAATAAAATATTTTATTATGTTTTATTTTTATTATTTTATTACCTCCCTTCTACGTGACTTTACCGAAAGAACCAAGATGAGGAATCCCTGCAGTCACGAAAGCTTTAAATCGAAATTTTATCCACCCACTCATCGCGCCTGCGTGCACACCCACAAACTCATCCCACACATCCGTCTACTCACCCGTGTACCAATTGTGTCCCCTCCCCCCCCGACAATTCTCACAGTGCCGTGTTCCCCTGGAAGAACTTGCTGGTGGCCGTGGTGGAGTTTGGGGGCCCTGAGCAGGAGGCGCTGGACTTGGTGTCGCAGGTGACGGGCGCGGTGCTGGAGGAGCACTACCTGGTGGTGGGCGTGGTGGTGCTCGCCGACCCGGGCACTGTGCCCATCAACTCGCGCGGCGAGAAGCAGCGCATGCACCTGCGTGACGGCTTCCTCGACGACAAGCTCGACCCCATCTACGTCGCGTACAACATGTGAGCGAGGCGCGCGCTGCGTGGCGGGCGGAACGAAGGCGACAGACGGATGCGCCACCCGAGAGACTTTTTTTTTTAGGTAAAGCGATTGCTGGGGGAATTTAGGGAGTCTTGCCGGTTTTAATAAAAAAGGTTGAAAATGATGTAGAAGGGAGGAGCGATTGGGTGGAAAACGAATTTTGGTTATGGTTGGGACAGTGAAGGTATGGCCGTGGCGTGCAGGCCCACCAGGATGGCTGGGTTGGGATGGAGAGCAGTGGTGGATCGTTTGTCCCCGTAAATGTTCACCGTTTGTGTTTAGTCAGTGCCACATTCACCCCATGAAGCTTTCCGAATCCCCATTGTCTCCCGCTGAAATCCCTCAAAAGTCCTTGGGATGATTTCCAAAAGCTGGGCTTTAAACCGTACAGATATGCTGGTGGTTATGCTGTGCGTTTTGTCTATTTAAATACTATTATCATTTTTTTTTTATGTTAATATTTCTCCCTGCAAAATGTCTGCTTGCACAGACCTGCGTATGGGCTCTTAGAGTAGCGGGTCCATTGGCGCAGAAGCATAATGCACGTCGCAGCCACACGCCACATTGTGTACCATCGTCATACCAAACATCACAGCCACACAGCACACACGCCACACACCATCACAGCCACACACCACGTATGACTGTTGCATAACCCAAACCACACAGCCACACTCCACACATCACCGTCACACCACCACAACAGAAATATATTTTAAAATATCATCCTCCTGTTTCCATCCATCCCCTCATCCACCACCGAACAGGATTCGTTTTGCCCTCCTGTCCTCTGGGTCGCAGTTTTGCTTTATCTCGGCAGTCATTCTACCCGTAGGCAAATGCCGAGTGCTAAAATGTTCCGTATTAATTTTCACATTCATATTTCCTAATCTATCCTTGCCATTCTTTATGCATGAACCAACAGTGCGAGTAAATGCCATGGATCTGGCCAGGGATGTCGTTTAAGTTCGGTAAAGCAGCAGGGGCACCTAATCATGAGATTTAGTTCAAATCCAAGCCTGGGTTGGCTTAGACCCATCATCTACATGACCTCCCCCCACTACACCCCCCCTCTCCACGGGGCATTGTAATTAACCAGCACCACCTGGTGAGGCTGCCCCTATTTCGCGGGATGTCAACGGTGGTTGTTCTGTGGAGAGAAGAAGACTGGTCCTCACAATACTCAGACCGGTTATCGGAATGTGGAATTTCTATCGGCGGCTCAGGATCTCCAAAGGAAAAATATCACCGCCCAATGCTCATTTGGAGACATGCACATTGCCATTTCTCTCTAGTTATATCTCGATGCCATTTAAAAACATTTTAATGTTGTCATTGCCAATTTTATATTCACCCCCTACGTTCCGTTTGTCGGCGTGTTCAAAGCTTGCTGGACGGGGTCCCTCTTTTTTTCCTGGGCGGGGGTGGGGAGGGGGAGATGCGTGGGGGGGGTATAAACGGCGCGATGCAGCCTGCGTGTCATCAGCTACGCGAGCGCATGGTTCGGTGCTTTGGCAGAGCCTCCCTGCTGAGCATCAAAAGAATGCTTTGCCACACCCTTTATGTGACCATTCCCACCGGAGGTAGAGCAATGAAGTGATGTCTCTATTTCAAAAAAGCAACAACACTCAGTCATCATCCCTGACCTCAGCGTTATACATAATTGGCCAAATGTGCCACAGAGGAGACCTTCCCTGATGAAGTCTTCACATTCATCAATCTTTTGTGCACAAAAACTCTTTGTATTTCTAGAAGAAATCATCATAATTGCTTATTAAATTTTGGATCTGAGGAGGCTATGCCCTGCTGGTGTTAGTTCAGAGTTACGTAAAAATTGATTTTCATCTTGAAGGGTGTTCTATTACGTGATTTTTGTTTAGCAACTTCTGAAACCTGCTGCATTCGATCAATGCTTAGTCCATTTGGCATGTTCCCTTTTGTGGTTTAATTGCATTTTTCTGTCAATGTCATTGCGTCTGCAGTGATTGCGGTTTAACGATTGGGGCATTTTAAATTGTTTATGCGAGCGACACAAAGTGCGGAGTAAATGTTTCGCGGCAGAAGAGTTCCAACGCGACAGTGCAGGGACGACTGTGATTCTACCCCCAATGCGCCTCGATCGACGTTAATGGCCATGTTTTATGCAATGACCCGTTCAGTCACTGTCCACTCCAATCCACTGGTTTCTCCAGCTCCTCATGCCTACCAGTAAGCCGCACGTGAATAGTGTCAGTGACCGTCTGATGTGCACATGGATGAGAGGTTTGCTCGGCCGTGAAAAGCTGGGTCTTCGTCGGGGTTCCTTGGGGGGCAGTCGTTTCAGAACGGCTGCCTCCTGCTGTGTGCCCCGTTTGTTTTCTGTATTTATATAGCACGCATTAAAAGCACATGCAAGAAAACTTCAGAGCTTCCTTACAACAATGAACGCTCATGGTGCAGTGCTTGCTTGGGTTAAAGCTCGGCTAGAATATTTGCATTCTTACCATCTCTCCCCTCCATGGAGTCTTTGCATCCTTCTAGGGAAGTCGGCCAGGGGATAAAAGGTGTGAATTTATAATGCGATTGAATTTTACCTATGCCCCACCGTCCCATCCCCGGTGAGGGTTACGGTGGTGAGCGTTAATGTTTGCGTGGTGAGTGTGAATGTTTGTCTGGTGAGCAGGTTAAGCCTGTCTGTCTGTCTGGCCATTGCATCCACACGGTGACTATGTAAACTTGTTCCAGGCCCTGATGGCAGGGCCTAATTGTGCGTACGTAGGTAGAGCTGTCACGTTTGTGTTTTCATTACGCATTGCGGATAAAATCACACCAACAATGGTGAATTGGAAAGCGTGGCTCGCATCACTGAATTTTGTGCTTGCGGTTTTTTTTTTTGCTCGGGAGAAACCGCGAGTGACACGAGGCACGCAAAACCGCCAGCCTGACGATTGACGCAAAAAAATACAATCTGCCAAAAGATCTGTTCGCATCTTCAGAATTGAATCAAATGTCATTAAGCAGCGCTCTGGCATCTGGTTGTTTATGCCAGTCGTGAACATCAACTTGCAATAATGTGGCTGAAATGTATTCACTGCTCGGATAATGATTCTCTGTCCAAACCTCTTGGGAGCCTTTCTTTTCTGTAATGCAACCCCCCATTAGTGTTTTTTTCCCAAATTGAACAACATCAAATTCCGGGTTTGAACTCATTTCTGCACTACCCTCAAAGACATGACACAGTCTGTCAGAGTTTCTAATGTATACACATTTCTGCATTGAGCTTCCCAGTCATACACGTAACACTGTCCTCTGTAATTAATGCGTCTCGGTGTACCGCTCTTGCCACTTGGACATTTTCTTCCCCATTACGGATTAGCACGTCGTCCAGTGTCCCTTTATGTTTTGCATTTGGAGGCCGGGAACGTTGTGTGCGTGCGCATTAGCGTGGTGCAGCGGTGCTTGGTGTGGGATGTGAGTTTTTTTTTTTGCTTGATTTAGAACACCAGATGGTACGTACTTCCTTGGCAATGTTGCACTTGAAATTGTACATTGAATTTCTTTGTGAATTTGAGAACGTCTGATGACATTCTTGCGCGGCTGTGCTTCTAAAAAGAGGTCAGGTGCGTGCGTGCAAGATACTTTGTCTTGTAGGCATGTCATGTGACGATTCACCCTGCTTGCCCAGTCGATTGTCACAATTTAGTGACGCGATTCGAATCAAATACCAATTGTTTTTTTTTGTCGTGGTTTATTTCTAAAGTTTACCATCTCATTTGTATTGTTTCGTTTTTTTTTGTCTTGCCTGTACATTTTTTGTTTCCCTGCTCCATTCGTTTCAATGTGACATCATATCCTTTGCATTGAATTATTATAAATAATCAAATCTCACCTGCACGATTTGCCGCTTTTATCGTGAGCGTAAAAATATTTTTATGCGATGAATCATTGTGCTGAGTGCCTTTAGATATTCAGAGGTGGGGGGGGGGGGTAAAGTTTAAAAGCATTGAAAAATAATTTCCTTAAAAAAATGATGGCAAGGTCATCTGTTCAGTCGTGACCAAATGAGCACTGCTTGCTGCAAATGTGTACTCTTACCATTTTAATCCATTGCTTTGTGGTGACATCTACAGAGTTTATTAACACTCTATGATGTTACATGTTTATCGGTTAACAGCAAAATATTATTAAAACGTCTGCTTCAAGTTTTCAGAGAGCATTTGCTCGTCGGCGTCGATAAAGGCTGCTCGTAAACTTGGACCAGACGGCAACCTTTCTTGGGTAACGGCTCTAACAGCCTTCTAATCTCACATCTCTGTCTCCTAGATACGCTAGTTCCCGGCAATGTAGCCTGGGGGAGGGAGAGGAGGCGAGAGGGGTGGTTTGGTTGAAGGCGCGGAATAATATCAGCAAACTTTGTCCTTAATGGGTTGCATTCTGACGAAAGAGCCGTTGACGTGCAGAGGCATTAATGCACGCGTAAAATTCACGTGATGCGCGCGCGCGCGCGTGCATAAAATAACGTGCAACTTAGTGAAAATTATTAACGTTAAATTATGAAGGGTTTTTTTTGGGGGGGGGGGTGGGGTGGGGTAAGCTTTATAGAACATGGACTATATGCAACGTCGTTTCTTTTAAGTTTGTGCCATGGTGACGTTTCATCACAACCACGTATTTTGTTGGAAGTGCGAGGGGAGGTCAGAAAGTATTGCGTAATTATTAATATTTTAATACCTGCAAACTTTATTTCATTGTAATGTAATGTGTCGTTCATATGTAATTATTGGGCCATAACAAAAGTGTGCTGGTATCGCAGGCAGTAGGTGGTCTGATGACAAGTTCAAATCCTCGTCAGGTTTTACTAATCCCATGATGATAATGATGATGATCATCTCTCATGCGTCAATAAAACGACACCACAATGTGAGGTGTAAAAAAGCTCCCCCCCACCCCCGTCTTTTGGCAATACTGTCATAAATGTAGGGCTTACGAATTTACAGGGTTTGGTTAAATAAATGTTACCTTAAATGATTTTTGAACAATTTTGACCACCCCCTCGGATATAGTCCTTATGCAGTATATAAGTGTAACATTTTGACGATAGATAAAAGCTAAAATATTGTAAAAACTCTTTAAAAAATGTTTTCACAGCAAATGATTTACCAATGCCAAAATGTGTGAAGGTTATTTGATCAATAAAATACAAAATAACTTAATTGTTTTATCTGCCGGCCAGCATTGTCTTGTTTAGATAATTAAATGTTTAATGTCACTAACGGTTTCATAATGTCAACATTGCTATGTAGAGAAAAGTGCCTGCAGAGTCAATGCCCACAATCGTAGCTTTTAGGCCCGGTCCACACATGGGCAAATTTTACAAAGCGACACGGTAAAACACAACGACAAGTTCCGCCCGAATCCGTAGTTCGTTCTTAAATAGCACTTCGTGCCAATTTCACACCAAAGGGGAGAGCGTCTTTCAGAGGCTAAGGCGATTGGCGGGCGAACGCAACACGACGTGGCCTGACTTTCACGTGATATCACTTCCCTGTGGAACGGGTGCGAAGCTGCGAGCGGGATAGGAAATCACGGTTCGGTCGCCAACTGGCCCGTTGATACGTCTCGATAGAGCGACGCGTTTGTGCCACGGTCGTTGTGTTGCTCTGTAAAAAAAAAATCTGTGTGGCCTGGACTTTGTGTAGTTCCACCAGCTGAAAGCGACTTGCTTTTGCACTATGTTATATCTAGAATCAAAATTAACTTGGTGGTGCGCCTTTAAAAAACCTAAATCTACCACTGAACCATGTTCCGCAAGTTCATGAGTTCCCTGGCAAAAAATTTTCCCTGTACGCAGGAACAAAATCTCACGTGGCATTTTACGTTTTTATTGATTTCATAACATGTTTCCACTAATCTCATAACTTGAGTTCATTCACTTTACGTTCTGAGCAATAGTATGCACATAATCAGGGTTAAGGTGTGAAATAGATTTAACTGTAATAAAAATGAAATTAAAATAAAGGGAGTTGATCTTAAGGATATCGTGTTGATGGAACTGTGTCGCAGGTTCGGTTTGTATACACTGGAAATGTTTAAGCTCCAAACTTGAATGATATGTCATTTTATCAGCTTTCGTTTAATCATGGTATCATTGCTCTGTTGTCGTTTTGTAAATATTTATGTAGCAATGCTAATTTTCTATTGTAACGAACTAAATAAAGATTTTTTTTCAAGCAAAATAATTGGTCATCTTGGTGGCTGTGTATTAATTTTTGTTTTTTAAGCGATGGCAGTGGGTGGTCACACTTCTGCTGAGTGTACGTGTTTTAAGGATGTTCCAGCAGATGGCATTATGGCACACAAAGATATATGCTTCCATCAAATCTTCTTCTTTTGCATAAATGTGGTTACATTCAATGCAATTCTGGGTTCATTGAGAGTTTCAGAGATTTTAATCTTGGAGAAATAACACTTAACAAAAAAAACCAGGAAGAATAAAAACCGTTGCTCGCTGTGATTTTCAACCCCCGTTCTTTACTTTGTCTTATTAAGAGAGTCCTTACCATTAACTTTATGGTAATGCCACATGCTGTGTGAATATGATACAGACTGAAAATACTTTCCCACCATCATCATCATTGCACTTGAATGTGTTTATCTCACATACCAATGTGTAACTTTGAAGCAGAGTTTATGGGTACGTGTGCAAGTTTTTTTCCGATTTGTTTTTTGTGCGTCTTTGAGCACTAAATCCCTGTTATTGTCAGAAAAAGAATTGCCAACATAATGTTTTTTAATATTTGTAAACCATTTAAAATAATTCACCCATTGAAAAACATCTGGTTAAAAGGTCAGGTGTGTCAAAAATAATATCACAGATGGCAGAATTAATTAATAGGACAAATCAAACACAATCACTTTCGTCTTCATGACTCGGATGTGTTTTCTGGTTGTACGGCATGTTGTTCAGCCTGATGTCCGAAGATAATATTCAGGTTTCCTAAGAAGCTTTGCAGCACGTGGGGCGGAATGTCCAGACATGGTCTTGCCGAACAACACAATGGTACATACAACTTGAAAACATTGGAGAGTTGTAAAGCACAAACGTGAAAAGCTACGCCATACGATCACTAACGCTACTTGATAATGGAAGCGTTTACATGTAATAATACGCTATCGTTTTGAACAGTGGTCCTTGTTCAAAGCAGAGAGCGCGATTAACTTGCAGTTGAACATGCACTGTGGTGCCCCAAAAATATTAACATGAGCTAATTGACAATTCTTCATTGTTATGAGAAGAGTTCTTAAGCAAACAGTAGCGAAATATTCCCCGATTAAAATAATATCTGAATCATTGTCATTTATACATTTACATAATAGAGGCGCAGTTCAGTAGATCTGCCTTTTGGAATGTGCTGAGTCAACTGTGAAACGTTTTTGTCCTGCAGCCCCTCAATCACAGCCGCTTCCCCTCTATGGAAATGAGTGCCAGTTCCCGGTCATATACCTGCTTATTTCAACCATTGATAATAATGATGATGCCTTTTTTTCCAGGAAAGTTTATCTATCCAGGAAAGGCCTGAAAATCTCGAGACTTTTTTCCCCCAGTATTTTTTCCTGCATCTGCATGTTTAGCCAATTCCACAAATGAGTTGCGTGTGGGCGGAAACCCGGAGTACCTGGAGAAACCCCATCACACATTCAAGGGGGGAGTACTCAATGCACCACAACGCAGAGTTAAGACTATTACCGCACTGCCACCTCTAGCCACCTTGCAACATACACCTACAACACCTGGTAATCAACTCGGCTCAACCAAGTTAGTACTGTACCAGCTTCGATGCGATGAGACCTAACGCAGATGGGGTGATTTGGTTCTGATTTTGAGGCTGAAGATCGATGTAATAATGGCTCAAGGCACGGCACATTCTACCTCCCAGACCTGGCTCCAGCCCTGGCACATCCATGTGGAGCATCAGGCACAGCATGGTTCCAGGCTACTACAGCTTTGTAAGGGAAGTGTGAGTGTACTGCTGCGTGGGTATTTGCTGGTGACGCTGTATAGCTCTGCTATGTCTTTTCGGGATGTACCACGTGTTGCTCAGCAGGAACTAAATATTCTGATCCTGAGGCAGATCCCATCACGTGGAGCGAAATGGACATCATGCCGATCAACACGCCGAAGACACATTCGGGGTCAAAGTCAGTGATTTCCTGCTCAATTGAGCCTTTAGACGGAAGTCATCTCCTGTTTGCAGCCCTGATCCCGTGATGGCCAATTGACATTGCTACGGTGGCGTCAGTTTCTCAATAGGACTACCACTGTTGACTTCGCCACAAAGCGGTACATATTTTAATGACTACAGAAACATGACGGGGCCCGGGTCAAACCGTCAACCAGGAGGGTGAATTCGCAACCTTGTTATTGCAAAGTCGTTCACCCTGTCGCTGAGCTGCCCGGCCAGATTTTAAAAGGGAGTGGAGAAGCTGCAAAGTTTGTAGGATGACTCCCCCCCCCCCTACTTCCCTTCCCCCAATTTTGACGGCATTATTCGTCACACCTCGGAGCAAATTTTGTTATGAGTAAAAATGTAAAACTGGCATTTCCAGAAATTATGTTTTCGCACCCCGTGTCGATGTTAATTATATCCAATTAGAGCGGGTGCAGATCTTGCCGTTTTCTGTCAGAGTTGGAGCGGGGGGGGTGCTTTGGTTTTAACAAAACAAAGTTAGATGGTGGCATCTTTCTCATTTTGGCAGGTCGCGTAGCAGCGATGTGACTGGGATGTCTCCGGCCAGCACTGAGAGACCCGAGATTTGTCATTCTCCTCTTTCCACCCCACGGCGATCAAAACTGCATTCAATACCTGTGCAGTGGCGTAACGCGCGTGGTTTGCAAACAGCTGGTGCAATTTGAGGGCGAGCAGGTGCAAGCGGCAAGACATGGAGTAGCCGCCAGAGAGGCGCCAGCAATTAGGGGGAGAAGCAGTAATGAAGCGGGTGCATTTGGGGACAGGCAGGTGCGAGCGTGGGAACACGGGGTAGACGCCGTAGAGGCGGGAGATGGAGGCGATAAGAGAGAGCTCGTGCAGGAGGTGCCGCTGAGGCGCCGGCTTCATTGGGGGTAAACTGAGAACCCTGAATGGTATTGTTGTTTGTTGGAGCTGAAGGAACGGAGAGGACAAGAGCCGGGGAGAAGAAGCCTGGGACCTCGGCCCTCCACACCTCGTCCTCCCCACCTCGCCCTCCTCACCTCGTCCTGCCCAGTGGTGTTGGCTGATCCCCTGCTGGGGGCAAGGACCAGGGTGGAGGTGTGAGGGAAGAGTGACAGGCTAACGAAGTATCGAGACAGGGAGTTCGTAGCAAGGGTGCGTTGTGTTTGTGTGAGGAGCATCCACACGGGATGCGAAGTAATAAAGTGGCACAGGAGAAAAGCTGAAAGTGTCCGTGTGAATACACCACGGCACTTGCACTGTGTCGTGGTAGTTCACGCCTGCAGGTTGAAGAGGAAACAGAGGGGCGCCACGGTTGCTATGAGATGCTAATGACCTCGCCTGCTTTGCAGGAGGTCGTGGGTTTGATGCTGACCCTAACGCCTGTTGTGTATTTGGAGTCTGCGTGCACTCTCGACCCGCGGTAGCGTGGATTTTTGTCTGGGCCCTCCGCTTGTTCCCTTTCACATAGATAATCAACATGCGTCGAGTGTTTGGCTGCTATAAATTTCCACGTGATAAAGTCACTTTTTTGAGCTATCATTTGTGGCCAGGTCGCTTCTGAAAAAGGAAGCTATGTATATTGCTCGGTGGATCTTACCTGGTAAAATAATAAAAAATAGTTTAATAAAGTTAGTCCGTTCTGGGTTTTCCCGTCTCAGGGTGATCATGCGTGCTCATGGATTCGTCGAGAAACTGGAATGTGCTGCAAGTAGCTGCGTCTTCCACGCTTTCATACATAGAGACCCACACATTTACATGAAGATCCACACACTCGCATTGACACCCATAGCTTGAGATGGAATAATATAGATGCCCAGAGGCTCACGCAGAAACCCACAGATGCGCATTGAGAGCCACAGACTCGCATTAAAACCCATACACTCAGAGGCACACAGACTAATAATGACCCAGAGACTCATGCAGAGACCCACACACTCACATTGAGAACCAGACTTAGGGATGCGCAGGACTAATTTAAAGGTGCATAGACCACATTAATGATTTATATAAAAAAAAATTAGCGTATACTCAGTCTGTGAGCAGAGTGCAGTGTGGTGACATGGCACAACTTTGCAAGCCACACTCACATCATAAAATGAATCTATTGAAAAGAGCTTCATAGCTCATCGGATTCCTCCTGTATAAATAAATAATCTGATTAGGAACACTCTGGTCAACATTGACCACCGATTTGAGCCATTTTCAGGAGTTCAACCCAAATCACCGGGCTCGAAGCGCATTGCACAAACTAATTAGACCACCACTCCGCACTTGAGCATGTACACAAAGACAAAGATCCCCCACAGCATGTACACACACACACTGACATGCATAATCACACACAGCCGCACAACACACCTACTGTGGAAGTTGCTCATCAAATGGGGGGAAAAAAGTGGGTGCCACGGGACCACATTCGGGTCCTTGGATCGCTTTGGAGACTCACGGCTCACAGAATCTCATTAGCGAGGGCCACGAGGGGCGGGGAGGCGTATTGTGACTAGTGTGGAGGGGAGCGCAGCGAGAGGGGCAGTGGACAAGCAGAACTCGGCGGATAGTTTCTTATTTGATTATTTTACGACACGGTCGTGGCATTCAGCTGCTGGAAGAGATGGCTCGAAGGGGTGGGAACGGCGTGGGGCGGGGGGCGGGACACCCGTGGGACTCTCACGCCTGCTCGAATCAAGTGCCAGTGCCGCTGGTGTATGTCGGTGATGCCGCTGCTGCTGCTGCGAGCGAGAGGAATAAGTGAAGGCAGCGACTTCGACTTCGGCGGGAGGTGCCGGGCACGGCTAATGGGCCGTGCAGCCGCTTGAGCCACGGCTGTCAGAGCCCCCCCCACCCACCGTCTTCCCTGAGCGCCAGTGCGTGGCAGTGCGTGCAAGAGAAGCGAACGCAATCGCACGCGCGTGCGAGGACGCCAGCGATTTTGTGAGATGGGGAGGGAGGGGGGGAGGGAGGGGGAGGGGAGGGTGGGGGGGTTGGGAGGGAGGGGGTAGGGATGGAGGCGGGGAGGGGGGGAGAGG